GAATCCATAATAAAGTTATCCGAGATAAAGACATTTGAGCCATTTGAAAGATGATAAAGTTATGATTGACAGTTGAGCTAGTTGAAAGGTGAAAAGTTATTTAAACTAAAAATGAAGTTGTGATAAATGTTGCAGTTATTCATAAAAAAATAATGTTATTTTTCATTACTTGTGTTATTTTATTTGTTAGACATTGAGTTTATTTTATAACAAATTTGGTTTACCACCTTTCGTTTTAAAATATTTTGTTTTAGTGTCAAAAATATCTCGATAGAATAAACATCCATACATATTTATTTCTAAATATTTGCGTACATATTACCTAATAATGGCCTCATACATAAATGTCGTCGTTCATAAAGTACAAAATGTCACGAAAGTAATTGTTTTATATATATTATAGTCATCCAAATCAAAACAAAATTGAGGCATCCACTAATTTCCCGTCTTTCACCTCTTTTTCAATGTTAAAATGTGTCATGTCCATGCCTAAGCACGACATAACAGCTTGAGACACAACCTTTTGGAAGCCTTCCTCATATACATTCAGCAATTGTGTCTCAATCGCGTGCAACTTTACCTCCAGCCTCTTAACCTCCTCAACTTCAACCAGTTTCACCTCTAGCTTGACTTTTTCCACATTAGCCTTCTCCTATTATTGTTTCTTATGTGCTTCAATTTCCTTCAGCATCCTTTCCATATTCAACACACGATTAGACAACTCAATGTTTTGTTTAGCCTTCTAAAATAAAGTTGTCGTGTGATTGTTAAGTTGGCATCGAAGGACAATCTTTTGCTTCTCCACTTTGGCACAACTATCATAGGCTTCCTTCACCACCCCCTTCCATTGATAGTACATGTCCATAATGCTAGCAACCATCACTTCAACTAAATCTAAACAATCAAGGACCTGTTATCTTTAGTAAATCTTGGTCGAGATCTCCACATTGTTGGTAGACATCTTCATGTGCCTAACTTAATTTACTCTTATGGAACTTGTCGGCACACGGTTTACTCAGTCCAAAGGATCATCTCAACATAGCGCCAATGAGTCAGTCATTACAGGGATGACTTAAAGAGAAGCATTGGAAGGGATGTCAAAAGTGGCCATTTGTTTACGGCAAAGCGATGAATCAGACACTTCCACTACCTCCTTGATATGGTAACGACCACGGGCCTAGGCTCAGTAGGAGTCGTGATGACCTTAACCTTCTTGGAATGTCTCTTAGGGAGCCGATGAACTCTCGGGTATCGACTTTGTTAGAGAAGTCTTCATGTTCAGAGGAGCCACACCTAGCTTGGCACAAATCTTCTTGTAATCAAAAGAGCTCCCCATAATCTCTTAAACATAAAGCTAAACATTATACATGCTTATAAAGTATAGTAATATCACCACAAGGATAACATCTCACCATTAAATTGAGAGACCTAGTCTTAACATAAGTAATAGCCAAAAGTATCCTTACAACTTAATAGGTCGAGGAAATTCTTTTAATATAGTTATAGATAATGAGTCCTCAATTGAAAGCAAATGCTTAGGACAAGACTTAAACTTAACTGAAGTCGTCCAATATAAAGGAAAGCGCAACAAGTTATTGGGATAATAGAATAGAGACCTTGAAGGACCTGTGCCACTACACTTTACTTGGAAAAAACAGTTCTTAAACGATTGAATGTACATAGTAAACAACCTACCATATTGGGAGTCATTGAGAGAAATCTAACTAATGTCAAACCCATACTTGAATTGACAAAAATACATAAAGACATTCATAGAAAATGCCAACTGAAGAAAGAAACACAAAATTTGAAAAACCTTAAAAAAAATCCAATTATTAAGATGTAATTGACTCAGAGCCACCCTAAGAATGGATAATATCTCACACTCAAAATCAGTAAAGGGCGACAAATTTTCTAGCTCCTTAAACAAACACTCATATATGAAAGTGGTCCTCACCATCAATCCTCGGCTTCATATAAACTCGGTCAGAGGTAGAGCATGACTCCATATTCATTAGATGAGCATAAAACGGTTCACATATACCAAAAGATTTACAGAAATTCTCTACAACAGAAATTTAAGTATACTCAAACTTATAATGGTGTACCTCATTCAATACCCAATAATACTCGAGGTCAAGGATAGAACCCTCTATATTATGTTTTTGCGACCCATAACCCACTTTGGATTTACCCTTGCATTTTTCAACAAAAAACAACAATGGAAACCACCACTAGAGCATACTCAAAGGTCATTTTCACCTCTTTAGAAGACACACACATCTCTAACACTATTAAAAGATGTGACTTCAACAGAGTGCACCTACTTGTAAATTAGAGGAGACACTTGTTTCAAAGAATTGGCAGAAAGAAAGACAAATATTTCCAAAATGAAAGATGAGGTAACACAATGATAACATGATAAGCTCATTTGTTTATATTAACATTATCATTGCATATATCATAGACTTTGAACTTAAGGGCTTATGTACCTACACGACCCTAAAACAATTTTACATCATAATTGTCGAGATACATAAAGAGAATATCTTGGCAATACCTAGGTATCTTAACAACATCCGAGATATTCGGATACCAACTCGCTTTGAGATACATGGAACTATACTGAAATATCCTAAATGATATAATATCTTGTAGATCTCAAATAATTATAGTATTACCATTCTATATAAACCGATTTGGTATGTCTTCATTCTATCATATAGATTAGTATTCACTTTTTCATCTACTGACTTAAGCATCAAATAATATTTTGCCGATATTCCTTTTTATCTTTCACCTACTTTGCCAAACCTAAGAAGTTCAAACACCCTTGTTATTCCATGTAATAATAATATTTTTAATTGCTTATTTCTCACATTTCTATTCATTTTATATTTATTTAGTTTAATTATGTTGTCTTTCACGTTCATATGGAAAAATATGAGTATTATTTTAATATTATTTTAAAAAAATTATACCTATAATAAATTAATTTTAATATTTTTTACATAATTTTTATAATATATATATAATTTAACAATTTTTAATTATTATTAATTAAGTATATACTTTAATTTATTATATTTATATTAAAATATGTACATAAAAAAATTAAATATTTTTTTATACGGATATAAAATATTTATATTATTATTATTATATATTAAAATATTTGATTATATATATGTTAATTATTTTTTAAGTTGTTATTTTTAAATATTTATAAATATGAAATATATGTTTATAAAAAAATATTTAATAAGTTAATTCTTATTTAATTAGTTCAAAGTAATAATAATTTTAATTATTAATTCTTTTTAATCTTCAAAAATAATTATTTTATTATGATAAAATTTGATATATAACAAATAGGAATACTATAAAATAAAAAATATATAAAATAAAATCTAATAAAAATAAATTAGAAATAAATTAATATTATTTAATTCTAAGATTGATTAGAATATTTAGAAAAAAATAAAGAAAAAGAAAAATTAATTTTACGTTTATCAAATTGGTTAAAAAGATTAGAAAAATCAAATTAATTAAAGAAATTTAAAAAAATAAAGAAAAAAGGTAAGAGAAAAAGAATAATATAATGAAATTATTTATAAGATTGAAAAGACAAGAGCAAAAAATTGGTAGAAAAAAATAAAAAAGTAAAATATAAAAAATGATCTTATATATAATGTGAGAAAGAAAAAAATTATTTTAAAATTTTTAATATTTTAAAATTTAAATTTAAATATAAAGAAGAAAATGATTTTTTTAATTTTTAATTTTATATAATTTTTTTTATAAAAATAAGTAGAGAAATAATATCCCTTATCTCAAATAGCATCAAAGATCAATAACATCTATTAAATGAATGGAATTAGTTTATTGATGTAATACAATCAAATAGAAAGAATTTGAGATTCTTATCAAATAAGGCATGGAAGGAGCTGTGAAAAAATTTTACGAGTCAGAAGGAAATGGTGATGGATTGAGAATGGAAATGGAAGTTTAGATGATATAGAATTTCCCTTCGGAGATAGAATTAAGGAATAGAATACTGTGACGTCCGCCCTTGATTTTAACCCGTCTACTACCCCCGTCCCGTCATAGAATTGCTAATTCTGAAGCAATTCCTTATTTGTTTTTAATCGCAATCAATTCTTACCCGTGATTGCTTAATTACGTGTTATTTATTAATTGTTATAGAAACTTTATTCTGTAATGGAAAATCTTATTACAAGGTATACCCGATTAGTTTTTTCATTAGTATTACTTTTTTTTCTTCAGAATGGTCGTTCCAAAAGATGGTTAAGTTGTTTCAAAATAGTTCATCCGAAGGATAGATTTTTTGTGGGGTACAGCAAAGTTTAAAAATTAAGAACAATTTTACAATCCACACCTTTTTTGGGTGCAGGATGGGATCTTCATGCTGCAAGAAGAAAAGCCCAGTGTTGAATTAATCGGTTGTTTATTAATAGAATTAAGCATCATTCATAGTCTAATGCATTTTCTGAAATTGATTTTCATCATCTTTACCCATTATATATATAAGTAATTAAACCAACTAAAAAATCTAAAGAATATTTTTATTAAATATCACATGTATCTTGATGTCCCTGTAAAAAACGACTCTATTTTTTTTTAAAATTATTACTATTATTATTATTATTAATCTATTTTATTTAATATTCTTTATGTTTATTTGCCTGATAAAGGAAGATTCTTTTTGGTGGATAGGTGACAAAACAAAACAAAACCCCTAACACGCTAGCAAAGGTAAATCCGTTTTGATTTTATAATAAATTTATAAAACCAAACAAACACATTAACATGACATATGCTTGTTTACTCGCCGCATGTGGATTGCGTTCAAATATTTGATGAATAAAATATGGTGGGTATGTCTTCGTTTTCTCCACTCCATTGAGAGATAACATCATCCATTCCGATTCTGATTTGGTTCTGAAAGAATTAAAGTCGTAAGTCATCTCTTCTCTTTTATGGCAACCGATACGGAACCAAAGAAGATCATAATTGATACCGACCCTGGCATCGGTAACATACAATTCTGCCTTTCAATTTTGCTTTTCTTTTCGTACTTTGTGTCGTTGTAATTCTTGTACTAATCCAAATCAATTTAAAGCCATAAGAATCTGTTTCTTTGCTTCTGATCTCAGAACAAACTTTAACTGATTTTTTTTTATATCAATTGGACACTTTGTCTGGTTGATTTTTCCAATTCCTTGTTTCTCTGAGAATTGCTGCTGGTTTATATAGATGATGCCATGGCAATATTCCTTGCTCTACAATCACCTGAGGTTGAAGTTATTGGACTCACAACAATCTATGGAAATGTTTACACCACTCTGGCAACCAGAAATGCCTTGCATTTGGTAGGAATATTCGGACTGTTCTTCGAATGGGCTTGTTTCCTATGGTGAATGAAGTTGATCCTTCACTTATTAATGATAAAAGCCTCCTACTTTACTTGCATATGCAGTTGGAGGTTGCTGGGAGAACAGATATACCCGTGGCAGAAGGTTCTCATCTGACATTAACTGTAAGTCTGTCACACTTCGATTGGGCATTTTACTTTCTTTATCGCCTCTCCGTTTTTTTTGTTTTGGGAATTGCTATGAATGTTATATGAGCATTCATAACTAATAATCATATAATTTGATCTTTAATTGATCTTTAATTGTTATGAGCATGCTATGAATGTTATATTTGCTCTTTAATTGAATACCTGTACAATAATCATATAATTTGGATATTTTATACTATTTGGATTACATTGTCACCACACTTGAAAATTTCAGTGAAGAACGAATGCGTATTGGTGATTTTTACGGTCAGCAAGCTATTCTTTTTCTCATTTCAACCTGATTGAGCGCAAAATTTTATCACTTTTCATACTTACTCAAGATAACAAAACTATTTTTGCTGTCTGTTGAAATCCGTTCTATTTGTGCAGAAAGGAACAAAACTTCATATTGCAGATTTTGTCCACGGTGCAGATGGACTTGGCAACCAAAATTTTCCTCCACCAAAGGGGAAGCCCATTGAAGAATCAGCTGCTGCCTTCTTGGTTCACCAAGCAAAAGTTAACCCTGGAAAAGTCACTGTGGTGGCATTGGGCCCGCTTACAAATATTGCTTTGGTATGATATATCTACAATTTCCCAATATGGCATTTCTATGTTACTCCTCATTCTTGTTTCATTTCATGACTATATTATATTTTTGTAGGCTATACAGCTGGATCCAGAATTTGCAAAGAACATTGGGCAGATTGTTATTCTTGGGGGGGCTTTTGCAGTAAATGGCAATGTGAATCCAGCTGCTGAAGCCAATGTCAGTATTTCCATCCTGTATTCAAATTCTTAATAACTTTTGTAAAAATATTATATCATTCACAACTCAATCTGTCTAACTCAATGGTTGGATTTGGTTATAGATATTTGGTGATCCAGATGCTGCAGACGTTGTATTTACAAGTGGCGCAGATATACTTGCAGTGGGGATAAATGTTACCCATCAAGTTATACTGACAAGTACCCCTTTGACAAATTCCCTAAAGCTCCTTTTTGCTATACTTGCGTTGTCATTTTATCCGACTTAAAGGAATAACTTTCCGTTTTTAAATCTTGAGCGGTTTACTATTTCTTCGATTTGTTGTAATTTTATTTGATTTTTCTTTCAGAATTAATGCTTAGTTGACCTAGCAACATTTTATAGGAATAGTTTTAGCTTTTTATTTAATAAGCTCCCTTATATAAAGTTCAACTCAGCCTAACCCATCGAAATGTTGCTGGATAAATAGTGAAATAGATTACTACATGGTATATTTACTGTCTAACCCGAAAAGTTGAAGCATGTTGTGTTTACCCTGAGCATGGGAGGGAGCCCCACATTTGAAGTACGAGATTCTAGTATGGGGCTCATTCGGGCTTGGACTCTGTAACTACAACAGATAGGTTTCATGGTGTGGTTCTCCTAAGGTTCTCAAGACAATTCAAAAACTGCGACTAAATATCAACAATCTCTTTTATTCTCTTGATACGCATCAATGGCCAACTCTTACAAAAGTTCTCCTAAGTTTCTTATGACAATTGGAAAATTGCGTCTCATTTCAACAACCTCTTTCTATCCCTTGATAGTCATCAATGACCAACTCTCACTAAAGTTTAAACTGTTTAGTGAAGGTTCATGAATTGCATTCTCGTAAATATTTGGAGACCAGGGTTTTATGAAACCTACTCTGAAATTTTCTATTGTGTTATTTACACGTTTTTAGTATTGATGAGAAGTTAACATCAGTTAAACAGCATCAACGTGATTCTGTTTTAATAAGGTGTATGTCATTTAACTTTCTCTCCCAGCAGATTTACCACTGTTCAGGTTGACTCATCTGAAAAAACAAAATGTCTAGGTTCTGATCGAGAAATTTTGGCAAGTTCAAATGGAAAATTTGCTCAATACCTGAACAAAATCTTAGATGTATATTTCTCTTACCATCAGGAGGCATACAATACCAAAGGTTTGTCTTCATTGTGCATTGAAGAATTGGTAGAGATCTAATAATCTAAGTTACTTATTTTAGTTACTTTTTCTACAGGGGTTTACCTTCATGACCCAACTGTGGTTCTTGCAGCTGTTGATCCTTCAATTGTAACTTGTATAGAGGGCATTGTCAGAGTCCAAACGAGTGGCATTACAAGGGGACTCACAATACTCTACAACAAACAAAAAAGGTAGAAACCACCGGCAAATTAAGTCTAATTTTCATGTGTTTTGTTTTGTTATTTCTTTATATGGATTTCCTGGTGTACGGCAAATGATTGGTAGGGGTTAAGGTGCTGACCTAGTTGAGATCTTAATTTCTATAGTGATGCTTTTGAACACCTTTTATAAAAGAGAAAGAAGTCTAATTTATCTGTATTTGTCTGCTTGTTGACGTTGACTTTGTTGATAGTTCTAATACTTTCAAATAGTTAGTTAAGATATTAGATTTCCTTCTGCCCAGAATTTTCTTCTCAAGAGCATCAAAATAGTGTAGAAATAAATTTCTTTCCTTAGTCCTCTTCCCTGTATATGTTCCCTTCTCATCTTTCACCAGGATTCTGTTGAGCTGTAGCATTACCTTTCGAGCTTCTATTCTTAGTTTTCAGAAGAATTCTTCAGTCTTCGCATGTTTTAAAACTTTGGTCGCACGAGTATTATGTGCAAACTGAAAAAATATCAAGGGTTATCATTCGAAATTTTATGTTGCTACAATGAACAAGGGTCAAGAAAACTAGGGGTATGTGAGTGTCTGAGAATAAACAGTACTACTTGTTGGTCCCAAATTGTGTAAATCTCGTCCAAAGTATCATCAGTCAAGATTTATTTCCCAATATAATGTAATTTGCTTTGATTTTTTTCATGTAGGACATAGCTTTGTCGAGGATTGCTTGAATTTTTTTATTTATTAAAAATGTTTATAATATTAACTGTAGTGACCCTTACGCTTGTCATAACAAGATACATACATGTGCACGTATTAAAGTTTATACAATTAATACATCACCTGTACTATTAATTCACCTTTCATCTAATATGTACAACTATCTTAATCAAGCACCTCATTTCCTACTCTTCTAGTCTACACACCTCTTCTTCTTTTTTTTTGGTGAAAGGAATGAAAGAAATTCACGTTGTCTCTTCTCTCTTCCATTTTTCCCCAAAAAGTATAAAACATAAGGTTTAGAACTTTGTTGTTAATACACAAGTCTTCCTTTCATATCCCTTTATACTCTGCCAATTCTTTTAACGAAGCCTTTACTTGATCCTCCAATTAAGCCATCACAGTCTCAGTTGGGTCACCAATTTAGTCTTCACAAGGATGAACACAGTGGTGTTTTTAGATTTTGTAGAGAATAATTTAGTGACAAAGTTTTAAAAGAAATAATGTGGTGGTATGTTAACCTTTGGAGGACCAAGTAAATGGTCTTTTTCGTTAAGGCTTTCAACAATGAATGATTTATGAAATGGAGTTACACACAAACCTCTGTTGTGATAACTTCTTTTCTTCATCATGTACTACACACTTATTGTCAACTTTTGCATTCCCTTGGTTGTGCGAGTCCTCACGTGTTTACCTTTCCTCTGTTTCTAATAAACCAGGTTTGGTGAAATCCACGAATGGTCAAATAAGCCAACAGTAAAAGTAGCTGTGACAGTTGATGCTCCTAGAGTTATGAAACTCGTGATGGATCGTCTTATGGACTCTTAAAGTAGCTATGAAGAATTAGCGCTGCTAATTCTTGTCTATCTATCAAATAGCACTAAAAAGCTGTTGAGTCTATTCTTCTTGCTATATTTCTGTTTAAAAGCTCTTGAGGTTGGATCAAGCACCAAATTAGAATGAGACTATTGTTGCCATCTTATTATAAATTCTTAAAGGTTTTATATATATATATATATATATATATATAAAGAAGTTTGTTATCATGAATATTATATTTGAAAAGATACCCCATCAATTAAATTAATTTTAGTATGTTGACCAATATATTAATTTATAAGATTTTCAAATTATATTTTAAGTATATTGGATATTGACGAGATTTATTTATTATTATTATTCTCTTTATAAAATATTATGGTACAAATAGCAGCATATTAATACTAGGAGTTTATATAATTATAAAATATTTTAATTTTTTAGTAATATAATTAGATACACATGTTTTGTAACTTATTTATAAATAAGTTGTATATATTTTATTTTATATTAGAAAATAAATATATTTCAATTTATATTTTTCAAGTTGGTATTTGAGTGATAATAATGATTTAGATCTTAAATATTTTGAAATCTTCAAATGGATGAAAGGAAATGTTATATTTATGAAATAAAATTAGTTTCTTCCGTTTAAACTCAAGAAATTTATGAAATTTAAAACTTAAAGTTATCCATTAAATTAAATCAAGTCCTAGTTGATGAATAAAAATATTAGGGAGATTAATGTACTTAACACATATAAGAGAAAATTTTGTCTATACATTAAGTTGTCTGTCAATCTATGTATAATCTTTGAAAATAACATATCGAGTGCATATGTACCACACGAAAAATGATTATTAGTAAAAAAATACAAATCAACAACAAATAGATGTTTATACTAATATTAATTAGATTGGATTATTAAAAGATAGATGATCAATATCATCGAGTTACTTTATATTTGTTAATGGTAATCTTTTTCTATGAAAAAAACAGAAAATAAAATGTGGTTTCTGGCTCAAGTGTAGAAGTTGAGTTTAGAGAATTAACACTTTAAAACTTGTGAAGGTTTATGATTATGATTCCTCTTAATGATCTTGGATACTCGTTCACACAATATATTAAATTATACTTGTGACAATAAAGTTGGGTGTGACATTGTCTATAATCCAATACAATATAATCGAACAAAACAAGTTGAAATTGATAGATGTTTTATTAAGGACAAGTTAGAAGAGAAAATTGTATAGTTACCTATGATTCGTTTAGAACATCAGCTAATTGATATCTTACAAATGTTGTCATTCTCAAAATGTCTTATTAAATTGAACATATGAGATTTATAGGTACACATATTTGATATCTTATAAATATGGTGAAAATATCTTCTATCATATTAGAGAATGAATATATTTCAAGTATATATTTTTCAAGTTCTTAAAAATGGTAAAATACTTAATTTAATTCTATAAAACCGACTTCGATAAAGTGAGAATTATATTAATGTTCATATTATAATATTATCATATCTTTAGTTAATGTAAGATTTCTTAACACACTTCTTGATATTAAAGATAATTTTTCATCACATTCTCTCGATAAGTTTACTAAAGATAAGTGGTCCAATACCAAAGATAAGTAGTCCAAGTATCAAAAATAAGTAGTCCAATATTAATTTTATAATATATCACATTAGAAATTATAAAAATTATATTTATATATTATTATATTTTTAGTCCACCAAGAAATTTTATTCCACCTACATTTCTTCACATATACAATTAATTATACAACTTCAAAATTATATATATATATATATATAAGAGAGAGAGAGAGGTGTATTCTGAATGATTATTAGTAATACTTGGATTTAAATAGGGGAATAACTTATTAAGTTACTTTTTTTAGAAGATATAAATTTTCCTCTAATTTTTTTTATCTAGATAATTTCTTGTGTTTAGAAAACTCACTGTATAATTACAAATTTTACTTTTGAAATAATGTTCAATTTATTTTAGAATATTTTTCTTGGAAGAGTGCTGAATTTGTTTCAGAAAAGATGAACAATTTGGTGAGATATAATGAAGTACAATTTAATTATTTTGTATTGTTTGGAGGGTGAGGGGAGATTTTTCTCGGGTGCACAAGGATTAATAAAAAAGAATTAATAATTCAGCTTGATTTGTATTATAAAATAGATAAAAAAATGTTAATTTAATTTGATTTTATATTATTTTGATATGATTAAATTAAAAAAAATATTTACGTATTTATATAAAACCAATTAATTAAAAAAACATTTAAATAAAAATTAAAAATTAAAAATTAAAATAAATTTAAAATATTTAAATTTAATTAATAAAATTAATTTTATTTAAGATATAATAATTTAATATATAAATTATAATATATATATATATATATATATATATTTAATCTCAAATAAAAATTAAAAATTTATTTATTATTATTATTTATTGTTAATAATTTATTAATTTAAAATAATAATTAATTTTAATCTTAAAATAATTGAATATTAAAAATTTATTTTGATATTTATTTTTAAAATAAATAAATTTTATCAAATTAATTTATAATATATATATATATATATATTAATAAATAATATTATTTTTAATTTTATTTAAAAAATAATTATTATTTTATAAAATAAATTAACCAATAAATTACTGATTAATCTGACCTATCTCATATAAATTAGAATTTAAATAGACCTAGGTCACAAATTTTTTATGCTATTTTTTGGATCTATTTTGAATGCGTAAGTAATGACTATAATTATAATTTAAAAATATGAAAGGTGAACATAGGAGTGAAGGAAGCTAAGGTAAGGAAAATACGATTAAACCTAAATAAAAAGAGAAGGCTTTGGGGCAGAACAGAAAAGGAGGATTGAGCTTTGGGGCAATGGCTTTTACTTCTTCTTCTTCTTCTATTGCTTCTCAGTTTCTCCCTCCCAGAAAGCTCTCGGTAATCCCTTTTTACTCAACGAATTGCAGAACTTGGGCATTTCCCACTGTTCTCACTCCAAGGCAGGCACCGTCATTACTTTCTTCAACGTCAACCTCAACATGCGTAGCAGCGGCGTCAAACTCAAACAACAGCACTACTTTCAATTCCGTCAAGAAGCAAGAGAAAGAGAAAGAGAAGGAAGTGGAAGTGGAAGTGGAGGAAGAGCTGCCGTGGATTCAGGAGAAGGCTTTGGACCTGGTCGAGTTCACCGGCTCCGTTACCCAAGCCATTCCCGGGCCCAGAGTGGGTCCTACTTCCCTGCCTTGGATTCTGGCTATTCCTCTGGCTTATGCTGGTCTTACTTTCCTAATTGCCTTTGTCAAGACCGTCAAGAAATTCTCTTCCCCCAAAGCAAAACGCCGCAGACTGGTCTCTCATACTCATTATTCCCTATAATCCAACATTTTTGCAATCTCACCTTTGCAACTTTTACTAACTTTATTTAGTTGCCCTTCATTTCCAGGTCAGTAAAAATGCCACGTTATGCAAGTCGCTGGATGATTTATTTCAAAACGGAAGAGACCAAGTTAATCACGAATCTCTCAAGCAAATTGAGAATAAGGTGTGGTGCAACATCCTAAACCTCTATTGTCACTATTAGTCCTTCAATTTCACCATTTCATTCAAATTGTGAACAATAACTATTGAGAATCATGATTGTTGCCTGCTATGCTACCCAGAAAGGAATTTTACCAAGAAAATTGATTGCATCAGTCATTTCACACTTCTGGCACATTTAAATCTTTATCTTGAAAGGAAATAGGTTGTTGGAGATCGTGGCCTAAATATATGGTAAAGTTATAGTATATAAGCTGGAGACAACTTTCAATCGCTTATAGGATTGAGTTAGACACCTAAATATTGTTTTGAGCCTATCATGTCCCGTTATAGGGCCATTTTTGGACCACCTATAAATATCTAGGCTCATTTCTGATATCTAATCCTTGGGGAGACCAATAGTATATATATGTGACACAATTCTTATCTTACAAGTCAATTTGTTGAGTTGGATTAGGTGTTAATCCATTTTTTAAGATATGCAAACATAAATCTAATATACTAAAAGAAACACGAAACCCCAACATGAAAGAGGAGTAACCCTCGGTTCAGTATAACTATAATTATGGCCTTACTTACAAACAGTGGATTTTATATTGTTTTTATTGGCTCTTTCATCAAGCTTGTAGACCATCCAGCTTATGGGTTTTCCAATTCCTATGTTGTCTAGTGACTGTCTACCAGTTTCATTTGATACTTCCTGTTACGTTTCTATACTCGTCCTAATGATCTAATAGGTCTCGACTTGTCCAACTGATAATTTTTCCTGATAATATTTTTTATACTTCACAGACTAACCAATGACTTGTTTATATCCTACGCCTGATACATCTCACGGTGAAATTGTTTCTTTTTGTGCAATTGAGAAAATGAACACAATTATGTTTGGATTTTTTTCAATGTAAAGGATCTTACCAGCAGTCTAGGTCATGAAATATTATTTTGCTTTCCACTTGCTTGCTGGGGAAAATCTCATGAAAAAAATAAGTTTCTGTTTGCTGGCTTTGATACTTGTGTGTGCTTGTGCATGTCATATGATTTTAATTAACAACTGTAAACTCACATGCAGACAGGTTTTGATTTGGAAGAAATTTTGCGCAAGTATATCCGCTATGCTCTAAATGAGAAACCATTCAATCCTGACATGGTAGCTGATTTAATTCAGCTAAGAAGAGCTTCTATGCTAAATGATTCACACGTTGCTGAGATTCTGAATGAAATTTCACGACGAATTGTCCGAGACAAAGGTAATGTATTTTTAACATTGGATTAGATGTTTAGTTGAGCACCCTTAGTGCATGGTTGTATGTGTTCACTAAGATATAGGAAAAGTAATCCAAATTCTCATAAGCTGTCAAACAAATTATTTTTCTCTTTGTTATGTATATTCACAAGGGGTTAGTATCCGGTCTATCTCAAGTTAGAGTAGTGTGTACAACACACACATACTGGTGGCATGTTAGTTTGAACCTGTGACCTCCGGCTCCAAGAAAGTAACCCACTCACACTGGCTTAGTTCAAATGGTTTTTAAACACGAGAAAAAGTGTAATAAAAAAACTATTCTTAATTGTATTAATTTCCTCCCAGGCTTCTTGCTATAATTGATGTTACTTGAAATCCGTCTAATATATAGGTGGCCATATAACAACTGAGGAATATTTATTTGACTCTATTTGAATTTCTCTTTGGCTTATTTGGCATTGAATTTAAGTATAAATTTGCCATTAAAAATAATTCTTGCATTGTGTAAATGGAAATAGTAAATAACTGGAAGGTTATGGAGTAAGAAAATGTACATGTGCAATAAATGGGACTAATTGAGCTATCCTCTTACAGAGTAAGGGCTCTAAACAACCTACTGAATTACAGATGCCATTTTATTTTTCCTTACAAAGACACAATTCAAATGCCCTTTTATCTTCTTGATATGTGCTACTTTAATTACAGAAAAAAAATATATGGTTAGATATTGGTGACTTTCATGGTTTCATTCTCTCGACTTACTATCTTCTGAAAGGGTAAGCCTACGTAGATTTGTCATACTCGAGATCAGATAAGAAAATAGGGAATGATTGTATTATCCGATTGATTTATTCTGTACATAGGGTGGTCTAATATGCAGATAAAATGATGGTTAAAAATAAGGAAGGAATTAAACTAAATCTAAAGATATTATCCTAAGTATGTATGTAATGTACATCAACTCTCCTAAAAATAGGTATCATCATTAATACAAACAAAATCAAATATAAACAGAACTGAAGCCAACCAAGTCTAAATTGTATCTCTGCACTCTCCCTCAAGTGAAGCATATGATTGTATGCATCACGCTTGCCATCTGTAAGCTATCCTTGGTCTACGGAGAGACTTTCTGAAATCATTTGTTAATTGTTCATTGCAGCTATCAAATGGAGTAGTAATTTCTCAAACATTACCTTCTCATTATTTAAATGACAATCAATCTCAATGTGATTGGTTAGTTTGCTCATGAAGACTAGATTGGATTCAATGTGTAAGGTTGCTTGGTTAGCACGAAATAGACTTATAGCTCATATTTCACAAAAGCACAACTCTTGGAGAAGGTGTTTGTGCCATATGCGCTCAAATGAAGTGAGAACTATAGCTTGATACTTAACCTCTGTTATGTAGATCTTGATATGGATTGTCTGTTGGCTGGGCAACCTGCCCAATTCGCATTTGTGTATGCAACAATGTTCCAATGATCACTGTTTGTGTATACTAGATGTCTCCTAGGAATCCTTTTATGTATCTTGGAATTCTTGCTACAACATCCCAATTACAATCTCAGGGAGAATAAAGTAACTAACTGACAACACTTGCAACAAATAAAATATCTGACTTCATTATGGTCAAGTAATTCAGCTTTCCAACTAACCTTTTATACCTTCCAGAATCTAGAAAATGCTCCCCTTGAAATGGGGAGAGATTAGAGGACAACCAGTTTAAGTCTCATTTGATTGTGGGGTGTCCCACAACTTTATTTGAACGGAGTTGGCGATGGAAATGGAATTAGAGACCTTTTCATTTAATTTGGAAGTAGGTGATGGCAGAAAATACGAGATGTAGATTTTGTAATTTGACCTTGTTGATACAAAGTTGGGAGATTCTACAGGCTTTCTTTGTTTTTTGATTTGGGAGGGGCTAAAGTTAAACTGATATTGTAATGGACTGCTTATCAAAGATTAGGGGAGACAATTGCAAGTATTGATGAGCTTACACTTATATTATGAAAGGGAAGCACTGGGTTTAAAAGGAGATCTTCATCTAGAACCATATTGTTTTGAAGGCTTTTGAGAGTTGATAGATGAGATGTTATTTTATTCAGCTTACACTGAACTAACTGTAGACCTGTGCAAGGAAGAGCGGGTACCAGGATGAAGTACCAGGATGAATTAGTTGAGGAAATATTGATGAAGTACCAGGATGTTTTTCAAGGGCCAAAGGGTTGCCCCCCGTAGAAGACACTATCATTCTATTATCCTCAAGGCTAATTTGTTAGGGGACCAAGATCATGCAAAGTTCTAGGCTAGCAAAAGGAGAATAGAAGTGTCAAAGTACAGTTTGAGAAACGAGATTGAGTTTCTCAAGTTACACCCTTACTCTCTAACTCTCGAAACATGAAACAAAGTTCAAATTTAAAATAGTTCTTATTGTGAAGTTGCAAAACTTTAGAAAGTGCTGTTTTATGTTACAAAAAAGATTGCTAAAGCATCACTATACAAGCTATAATCGTACCTAGATTAGCATATAACCTGTATCAATCATCTGCAGCATTCCTGATAGCATATATAAAAGAAATGAAAAAAATATAAAAGATCAGGTATTGACTATAAGAGAGTAGAGAACTGATCTGGCCCCCTTCAATTTTTTTTTTTTTATCATTCAGTGAAATATATTTCTTTTACAAATTTAATTGAATGAATCTGTTTTAGGTCAGGACCTCATTTTTTTTTATTCTGACTGCAATTTCATTTAAATGATTTGTAGGCCCTATTGTGATGAATAAGTCAGGTTATACTGAAAAGGGTTTTAAGAGAAAAATAGCTGTTCAGGCCCTTTTTGGAAAGGTCTTCTATCTGTCTGAGGTAAATGACCACACTGTCAATTTGATAGAAATTCTGCTTGTCTATTTCTTTATGTAACATAAAATAAGCAGTTTTAAATGTCTTTGGTACCATTGGATATGATGGTCTGTATTTGGTTCTAGGATTTTTCAAACAAATATTAGGAAACCATCACACTGAAATTAAGTGTTGCATCTTGACAGGAGAAATTTGTTATTTTTTGTTTTTTTTTTTTTTTTCAGATGTGTTGGGGAAATACTTAAAAGGTTGAACTTAGTTTAATTATGGACTTATTTGTGGTTTCAGGAAGAAATCTGGTATTTAATTCCTGGGTATATATTAACTTAATATTGGAGTATGTAATTGCTTACTGCTCTAAAATTTTGATATTTTTTTCTAATTTTTTTGAAGTAAAAGCGCTCATAAGAGGGTGAATCTTGGCACAATGGTAGGTGTTCTTACCGAGGCTTGGTTGAACTTTGTGTGAGGTGGCAGATGAACCACTGTTGGAATAGAATTGTCTCCTTGAGATAATTGGATGTAAAGAAGAAATTTACCTATAACACTCTGAAGCTCTAATTAGTATTTATAAAGTAATGAAATTAGTGGAGGGTTAAGAAAGAGAGTTACTGGTATTTCCTGTGGTAGGGATGCCCTTATAAAGTCCCCTTTTCTCTTGATAAGATATAAAATATAAAAGATTTTATAAGAAATCATAACTAATCTTAAAAGCAATCTCTGTAATCTGTTTTGATCTTATGAGATTCGTAACTGACTTTTGTCAAGAAGATATTCTCTTCTTCAGGTAGGTACGATATGATTGTCCTTTGTGACTTTGAATACATTTTGTTGTCTTTCAATTTTTTAAAGGCTCACGAGAGCGAGTCTTGGCGCATTGTAAGATTGTTGCCTTGTGACTTTAAAGTCATGGGTTCAAGTCTTGGAAACTGCCTCTCCACTGGTGGGAGTTTGGCTGCGTCTATCGTACCCAAGCCCCTCTATGTGGATAGTCTTGTGCATTTAAAAGGCATTTAATGGCCATACTTGTAAATATGCCTAATGAGTTTAATGTATGACTTGATTAAATTTTTCTCCTAATCTGTTTCCAGCTTCCAGAGTTTTGCTCAAGAGATAGCTCCTTAGTTGTAAAGGAAATCTTCGGTGTTACAGAGTATGTTCTATAATCAATATCTAGAATCTTACTTCGTACCGATCTTTCATTTGAAGTTTCTTGATAAACTTTATAACTCTATCAACATTCTTATGAAAAGCATTGAAGACGTTAGATGACTACGGATGTACATGAGCGTGCCAGAAATCCATTTGAGCATCTTTTTCCTTTTTAACACAGGAATCAGACACCGTTTTACATGCTAAGAGAGAATGTTTTGTTTTTCTTTCAGTGAAGATGCTGACAAACTCAGAATCTACACAGTCTCTGAAGCCGGCAGTCTAGATGCTCTTGAGAAAATGGTTGATGATTCAGATTCAGATTCAGAGGATGCTAGTGACAACGCTTAATCCGTAGGCCTCTTAATGCAATCACGTTTCAGTGTTTTAGCATTTGAAATGGCTAATAACTTGATGGTGGAAATTCATTGTACAACATTATCGGCCCCCATCCGAAAGATAAAATTCACAGAGCAACTTCTTACATGCTTTCAAAGTCCATCATATTTGCTCGATATTTTTGTTATAACTTACAACTCTTAAAGACCAGGCTTAGCGGCATTGATGTTTAGACTGTAGTGACCGGAGAAATTAACTAACAAAATTGTTATAGAGATACATTTTGGTATAGATATAGTATTCATGTATGTATGTGCTGATTTCGTGTTTCAAATGGTGGTTGGGCACCTCTTCCTGTGATTAGTCACCTCTTGGAGTTGTCTTGGATCATGTGAGATGTGGCGGAGCTGTTTTTGCTTGGATGGTTATTCCCATCTAAGTAGTCTTTCTTAACTTTCGAAAGCTTCATGTGTGGGTGGGATTCGTTTTGATCAAGGCAAAGTGAACGTGCGGGAAAGGAGATTATGACCGTAGAATCAAAGACTGTTAAAAGTGAATGTGAAGAAAAATGTGATTTTTCACGTGGAGGTTCTTTGCCAATTAGGTCTTATTTTACATTAGTCTGATCCTTGCCCAAATGTTATATTTCTTCTACATGCTAGTCCAAGGTTTATGTCACATGTATACGCAATATATCACGCGGGCACAACCGTTAAACAAGCATTATGCTATATTTATTTCGAAATAATGGATGAAATGTCTTCCATCTCTAGAATTTATGTATTAAATATATTTAAATAAAATGTCCCTTTAAAATATAAATATACATTTTAGGCTCTTCTAAAAATTAAGCATAATTTTTTAGTAAAAATGATAGATGAAAAACTTTTAATTATATATTTAGCAAAAGTTACTTTTAATTTAAATTTTTACGTGTTTCAACCATCGTTCTTTTTCAGATTTTGCTAATCGTTACTACTAACAGTCTGAAAAGGATGTGTAAATTTTGGAAATACAATTTTTTTTAATTAAGCTTCATGAAAAAAATAAGAATAATCTATTTACAAATAACAGTTAAAGCCTATTTTTTATCCTTACCATTTAGCTTTTTGTAATTTATTTTAATCTAAATACATGATTTATTTTAATCTAAGGAAAATTAAAAGTTAGGTAGCTTCCTTATTTAAAAAAATACAATTTAAAAGAAAAATAATTGAGACAGTATTGTTAAGAACAAAAATAAAATATTTAATAAAAACTAAATGTTAGTAAACAAAATTTAACCATTGAATTAAAACATTTTATTTATCGACAAAATCTAATTTTTAAATGTGAAAATTTTGCACAATTTAATAATTAAAAAATCATACAATTTGTGTTTAAATTAATTAAGTAATGTGAAAAATAGTATAAAATATTTAATAAAAAAAATGAAAGCTATGAGTTTTGAACTAAAACAGACAAGAATCCAAGAGAATCTTGAAATAATAAATAATCCGCCTCAATGATGTAAATTACAACAAAATTTGATGTTATTGACCTAACTCTAACAAGTTCGTCAGTTGCTACATTCTAATCTAGCAAGCAGAGATTAGTGATTTTGAAGAACAAACAGAGCCCTCAGTTCTCTCTAGTGAAACGGAGTCTGAAAATATATATGCACAAGTCCGAGAGTGTTAATGCAAAACACATTGCTCAAGTACACATTAAATTATCATCTCATAACCGACTCTTTCACATGCGATCGACCACCTGAACTGAAATGCCAGGGAACAAAGTCAGCATTTCTGAAACAAAATTACCCTATTTTGTGAAACAAAATTGTTCTGACTCACCTATATTCAAGGTGAATATTCATAAATCGAGCATTTTCTTTGCTTTGAGACAATGTCACTAAACCTTCAATTAGTTGATCTTGTTCCAGCTCTATAGGATCATAAAAGTATATCAATGTCTGCAAAATAAATCAATAAGATCAAGCCAATCAGGTCATAAAAGAATATGCAATTTTGAATATAACGTTCCTTCGGTCAAGATATGCATAATAATAAAAACCTAGCATAAATAAAATAAAGCGAACTGACCAACTACATTCCAAAAGCTCAAGCTTTACATGTTCAGTTATCATACAATCATCCAACTCATTTGAATTTAGGAAACACTTGTATATACATTCACTAAACAGAAAAACTAGAACCACACTGAAATTGGAAATTGAAGAAATAAATACTGCACCTGCTGCCAATGTGTTGGAGGGTCCTCAGGCGCAGTGGACAAGACCAGTGTTTCGTTGGGATTTGTTCGCCTTTTCCTCTGACTACCATTCATCTGATGATTGTCAATAAATGTTGTTGAATTATAATTGGTTGATGCTATTGCATGCCCGTTAAATTCAACATCAAACCAAAATGCGAAACCATGTAGTGGTGCTGGAGAAAACAGGAAACAAATTTCAATTATTGTCATCAAAATACATGATTTCATTAAATTTTGAATAATTTGCAGTAAACTGGATGAGAAAAGAGCACTGGGAAAATTAACAAGCAACATGAAGATAACAGCCCGAAGCTCAAATATTAGCAGCGAGGAAAAAAATTCAGAGGCCACTAACTAATGAAAAGGAAGAACAGGAAAAAGGAGGTTACCTCGCATCATAGAATTGAACTTAAACTTGGTTGTTACAGATTCTAACTCATGGATGGTAACAGAATAACTATCGATAAACTTTACCTGTAATTGTAAATGAACGATTTTTTCAGAAATAATGCTGAATACTCAAACGGGGGAAATTGAAATAGAGAAACAAACATGTTTCTGTAAAGTAGTATTTAGAATAAAGACTACGATATATTCTGATCAAATACTGCATTAAGTGATCTCAACATAGTAAAATAAATGGTGTAAAATTAGTACCATAACTAGCTCATCCTAAGCAGTAATAAAAAATCAATATAAGTACAAAGGCATTGAATAAGATCCTCCCAATGAATAACAAAAGCCAAAAACCTGAGGAATTAGTTAAATAAAATATGCGCAGACCAAAAGATCTTGAGTTCCCTTCCTGCTAGTGGTCCTTTATTGGAATCTCATCACTGAAGCATGCGGCATTCCCAGCTTTGAAACGGGAAACCATCCCTCACCTTAAACTTTCTTTTTCCCCGAAAAAATAGGATAACGAAATCTAAAGAAAAATATATTTGACAAAGAAACATGCATAAAGAGAAAAACACCGTATTATAAGCAGTTGAAAATTCAGAAATTTCTCTTCAAGCCCTGAATCACTGAATGATTTACTCAGTCCATTGGGCAATAATAGATATTACTACACGTTGATTTCATTAGCGCATATTCACTTGCTACAATCCATTTCAACCAGTCATTTGAATTTCAGATTGTGATGACTTAAAACTAAGACAAAAATCGAAAGAAACATTCTAGTGCCAGACACACGCACGATAGGTATTCCCGAGACTGAATACTGCTACTCAACTTCCAATGAATTTTTACTTTCAATAGTTTCGAATTCTAGTGCCACACACGCATGGGATATTGTAAGAATAGGATAAACGATTGCCTTCTATTGTGTCTACAATAACTAATGCAGATTTCTGAAACGTTATTGTTTCTGGTTTATTTTTATTATAAACAAATAATTTATTTAGACAGGAGATACAATCATCAAATACAAAAGGACAAGATATCCTCAAAATCTAATAAAAAGAAGGAAAAAGAAACATATAACTAAGCTTCCCACTATATTGTGCAACCAACAACAACAATTGTGAACTTACCACATGTGGCCATGTCAAAACATTTTCACCCGTTATTGTCTCCACGGAAGGTTCTTCAAATGAACATTGTTTAGCTAATGGTACCATGGCAGACACTGCAACAGAAAGCAGTATTTAAAATGTGATACGACCCATATCTTATCCTACTTTAATCAGTTGTTTGATGGATATATAGAATATGATAATCTTATTTAACTACTTCTATCCTGTTGAGCTAGTGAAGTCCTTAACCTAGAAGAGGAGGGATGGATTAGGAAACAAATTAGACAGTGTGCATGTATAATATTATTATTATATATAAACAATTTATATCTTATATATTATATTATATTACAAAAAAAAATCTGGAACAAAAGTGCTTTTAGTCCTACACTTATCATATATATGAATTTAGTTCTCAAACTTTAAACAAGTGAATTTATTCCTTCTTAATTTTAAAACATAAGATGAATTCTCAGTGAAAAGGAACTAAATCCAAAAGTATTTTAAAGTTTATGGACAAAATTCTTCAATAAGAAAATTTAAGGACTTTAATCATGTTTGAGTTTGACCAAAAGTATAGGGGACTAAAAGCACATTTTCCTAAAATCTTGAATGCACGCCCATAAGAAAAATAAATAACATCCAATGTACATATAATAATAGATATCATACATAATATTCATATTCAACATATTATAACGCAAGTATTTCTAAAAATTTTGCAACACAAAATTAAAACATATTGTTGATAAGAAAATTAAAATGAAACTAAACAGTCACAATTCAAAAAAATTGATAAAAATAAGATTAAAAATAATAAAGTTATGGATAATATACTAAAAATCATATCAATTATTTCAATTTGTTATAACATTTTTTTAAATACTTATCATGTTTATATGTTTCTTTGTCATCATTTTCTTTACAATCTTTTATGTTAATTGTGTCATTGATTTGTTATCTAATTTTGATGTAATTTTTACAATTAAAAAATGTGAAATAATGTATAAAAGTCAAAAAGAAATAAAGTGTAAAAAGTTTTGAAAATATATTACAAATCAATCTTAAAGATATTGACACTTACGATAACTATAGATATCTAAAATATCCACCTATTTCCATACCATAATTAAAGATATCTACAATACCTAGTAATATTAATCACGAAGAGTCTAATAACAGAAAAATACGCAAATCTAGTTTTAAGTCTGCACAAGTACATTATTGATTTCGAAATCTTCATAGCAATCTAGTACGCCATCTATGTCAATAAGTAGAACACTCACTATTAATTCCATAAACATTGCGCCAGAAGTCAACACTATCACTGTATCTGTCCGTATGCGTGACAGGAGCCATGTACAACTGGAAAAAAGTACAAGTATCAGGATTTTTTTACAAGATACCAAATTGTCAAATTATCAATAAAGATAAAATGAATCATGTAATTATTTAGTCCCAGAATGTCAAATCATTTTCAAAGATAAACTGAATCATGTAATTATTGAGTCCCCAATCACATTCAGGCAACTCTGGGGTCCATGCATAAGAAATCATATATCCAATGTTTAGGTATTCGCTATCGCATATGCAATAATAATATTTCTGCTTAAATAGAGTTACCGTTGCACTTGATGGAAGAATAAGACCTCCAGGTTTGAGCCATCGATCTCTAGCATTAATAACACTTCCAAGCATACTCTACAAGAGAAGAAAAATCTTCAAACCAATACAAAGCATAAAAAAATGGATGTTAGAAGCTGAGAAGTTGAGGTTTTTGCTGACGTTGAATTATCATTTAGACTTGTGTCGGAGCTGAAGCAGTTTTCGTTTTCCAACACCACCAAAAAATATAAAGGGAAAAGAATAAAAAGGAAAGGAAATTCTAATTGACATCTAATATTTTGGTTCTTCCACTTAATTAAAAGAACGTATATTAATAAATCACAAGCTCTGTGATGGAGGACCATCTGGGACACCACACATTTGGTCTCTTACTAGAGACATGGTAAAGAGGATAGAAGAGGAAAAAGCTTCACAGAAGATTTTCTTTCACTTGAGCACACACATTATTAGGATTCTTTTTCTATCTAATTAGCTACGTAAGAATTCTGCAAAAATTGGATAGGCTTGTATTTTCTTTACTATAAAAATTAGGGTTTAGTAGGGCAGTAATAGGCCAGTCTTGGACCTCCAATTGGGCCACAATTTGGACCACAACCTTGGGCCAAAGACCAGCCAAGACCCACGATTCAACCAAGGAGAGTTCAGCCTTCATCTCTCAGCTACACCAAAGAGAGTTTCACCTCATTTTCGGCCAAGGCAAGGTTAGGTTACACTCTTCAAGTCCCAAATCACACAAAACAAGGATTTTCTAGGCAAATCTCGGTGCTACTTGGGAGAGAAGGGAAGAGAAGTTTTACTTCCATTTGAGACATCACCTAGCCTGAGGAAGGGAAGCTCATCTGTATAAGAAAGCCCTCCCCTTGCATTTTTGGCAACTTTGATTGGAATTAGAGTAGATTTTGGCTTAATGCTTGTCATCTTATTCTTTCTTAGTCTTATCATGGGAGTATTTTTCTCTTCATTCTCCTACAAGGATCCTTCCTTGAAGGGAGAGTGTCGAGCTCTCTAAGAGCTTTAATAGTTCTAAATGATTTTCTTGGTTATTCAAGGTGAAGGGGAATTTTACTTCAATCACTTTGTCTTTACATCTCGATAGTTATTACAGGGTAATCATGGAGATATTAGCCTCGACCTTTTCCTTGATAAATCTAACCCCTAACATGACAGTTTCTCTATTTCTCAATTCAATTTATATGCTTAACATTTATGGTTTTTCCACAATTATACCAATCAAGAGACAATTGCTCTTTTTCTTTAGCCAGTCGCTGGAACATGTATAGAACCAATAACTACCGATATATGAGAAAGCATCTTCACTTAAATTTTGTGTAGAAAATTGTAAGGCTTGCCAACATTTTCTTTTCAAAAGTAGTCATATAAAATTACTTTTTAATTTTCTAGTTTCAATTTATCCAAGTTATCAAACTATCACTTGCCATAAAAGTTAATTTGTGGTTTGGCTCCTCTGATCTCATGAAAAGTTGATTTAGCTTTCAACATTAAAAAAATATATATTTAATCACCTCATATAGAAGCATATAGCCCATCCATTCTGAAATTATAACATCCACCTCTTCATCAATTTCAACATCCTGCAAAAAGTATAGTCTAAGGTGACTACAAAATTATACAGATTGTTTAATATACAAGAAAAAGTTTAAAAAGGAAACAACATATAAATTTCAAAGTAGAATCTGCTAAATGCCTAGAGTAATATGCATATAGTGTTTTGTTCAGAGAGAGGGAGAGAGAGAGAGAGAGAGAGAGAGAGAGAGAGAAACTATAGTGAGAGAACAACACCAAAAAGCTAACCAATAATAGCCATTGTGGTAGGAGAACCCAAGGCCACCTAAATTCCACATATTACATTTTAGTGTCGGAGGGCGATAAAATATGAAGAAAGGCTCCCAAATCATACTTCTGGAATGCGATGGTAATAAAAAATAAATAAAAACTTAAGTAAATCACAAACTTGGGTAGCGAAAATAAACATGGAGAATTTGGCTTGCTACTAACATGCTAAATAACAAGAACCTAGGCAGTCAATCACGGCCGGAGCGGCAGAGAGCTGCGACAGATGCCATCCTACGTGGCATTTTCAGGTTGCGCCTGTAGCAGACACATCAGAGCATAGCGCACGACGCGCATTGTGGGTCACGAACCCTAGGAGGTTCATCTCCTACAAAGTGAAACATGTGAAAGGTCCAAAATACCCTCACTTAATGGTTTTTGCGAGGATATTTTGGGTTTTTTGGACCTTTTAAGTTATATTTTTAAGCGTTGAAACGTAAACGAAAAACAACCCGCGAACGCCAAATTATAGTGAACACGTTACGTTCTCTCCTCTCTTCGCACTGCAATCCTCCTTCTCCAGCGACCGTCTGCCTCTTTGCAATCGTCCATCTTCGACGACCTACACTCTCCGGCGACACGACATTCCTGTTTCCTCGCTTCTTTTCATTTTCTTTTTCTTTTTCTTTTTCTTTTCGTTTTCTATTTCTTGTTTTCAAAACCATTATTATTATTATTATTTTATTTTTATTTTCTTATTCAGTCTTTTGGTTTTATTATTTAAAAAAATAATAATAATTCGATTAGCATCTTGTGCAGGTTTTCTATTTTCTTATTCACTCTGTTCTGTTACCCTTGCCTTCATCATAGTTTTTTAATGCTATTTAGTTTCTAATTTTTTTATCAGTTTTTTATTCAGTACTTTTATAAAAAGTTATTTCTTTTTTGCATTCTTATTTAGTCGTTTGCGTTACCCTAAGCCTTTTTCTCGGTTTCTGGTTTTTTAATTTCTTATTTAGTTTCTCATTTTTACGCAGTTGTGTTCTTCTGCCATTAATTTTTATTATTTATTGAAGTTGTGATTTTTTTTTATTAAGTTTCTTAATTCTTAGTTTCTAATTTGATCATTTAGGTTAAATCTATTTATTTTTGCTTTACACTCTAGATTTGTTAAGTACTATGAGTTCTTTTTTGTGTTTACTTTTCTTTTTTTCGGCTTATATATATATATATATATATATATATATATATATATATAAGAATAACAGTCATCCTACTATCCACTTGTGGTTTCAGCGGCTCCAATCCGCTATCCGGGAATGACAACTGTGACACGCACCGATACACATACTGAAGAGTACCGCATTCTATAGGTTACTATGGTACGAAGTATAGCATCAATGAAAAAAATTAAAAAGCATATATTGGTCAAAGGAGCCTACCTCGACTCGTCCATGCAATACAACAACAACATCAGACAAGTTATTTGCTTTCACAACTTCATTTGCCTGCTCGAAAAGATGATAACTAGTTGAAACCAAGTACTCAAGGTAAAAAAGGTCCTACCGAACTGGTATTACAAAATTTAAAACGTTCGGCAGGGTAATATAATCCACAAAGCAAGAAAAATTTATACAAAGAAAATTACGTATTACAGTGCTTTATGGTAAGGGAAACAGAAAAGGCCTAACAAGCAGTCTTTCAAAGAGTACAGATCATGATGGTTGACACCATCATTCATATTTTAAAGGAAAGAGAAATATAAAAAAAAATATTATATTTCACAATCTCAGGAAAATTGATGCAGGGAGAAAGGGCCTCAATTAAAGTTACAGGTTGGGTTGCTATTTGGTCGATCATAGTTGAGTACTCTTCTTCTACTGTAAGTCATAATTATTATTACTCAATATTGTTAACATATACAGTATCAGCTACTATGGCTACAAGTAGCATGAATTGAACACAAAATGATACAATAGCAAATTATTGTATTCTTATCTTCAACAAACATCGCATAAGATAATATCACACATCCATAACAGTTATATAGCCATTTAGAACTCAATCTAGCATGGAAGCCATCACAGAGATAGCTTGCCTTATCCTATCCAGCAACCCTTCTCCGATACAATGGTGGGTTTCGCCTCCCCAACCTACTGCCCCGACTCAGATTTCGGATTTTACTAACCCCACCCATTTCCATTATTTCTAAAAAATAATTATATTTATAATTAAATTAATTTTATTATATTTTTTATATAAAAATATATTTATAATTTTGTAATTTTTAATGATTATTATTAATTAAATATATACTTTAATTTATGATATTTATATTAATATATATATATAAAATATTTAATCATTTTTTCTTAATACAGATATAAAATACTTATAATAATAATAATATTATTATTATTATTATATATTATAATTCAGTATTTAAACATTTAATTACATATATAAATTAATAATTTTTTAAATTATTATGTTAAAATATTTATAAATATGAAATAATAATTTATAACAAAATATTTAATAAGTTAATACTTATTTAAAAAATTCAAAGTGATAAAAATTTTAATTATTAATTTTTAATCTTTTAAAATAAAATTATTTTATAAAAAAAAATTGATATATAACATATAGGAATAATAAAACTCAAAATATATAATATAATAAAACCTAATAAAGATAAATTAAAAATAAAATATTATTAATTAATACTAATATTGATATAAAATATTTAGAAAATGATAAAGAAAAAAATTAACACTGTGTTTTTAAATTCATTGAAAAGATTGGATCGCTCCCGCGGGAGTTTAATTGACATCTCTAATCTTATTCTATTTGGTGTGCTGATTAGGGCCTTAGGTTGTGTGCTTTTTGAAAAAAGGAAGGCCACATTTCTGTTATAGTGCCATTGGTACAAATAGAAAATAGAGTGTTTTAAGTTACAATATTACACCAAAACTAAATAGGATACAACTGAAAATATGATTTGACAATTACCTGTAAGGCAATGTCACTGGCATCAATTGCATACACCTGGCAAGAAAAAATTCCACAACATCATGTATGTCAAGTGCTTTAATGATGGTAAAAATAAATAAAAGTTGAAACAATTAAAAGCTTAAACAAAACCATAAGGTTCCAAGAATACAGCGATATATATTATTAATCCCAAAGATAACAAGAACATAAGATTTCCACTGTTTAAAAATATAGAACAGAAGTTGAGATCAAAAAATGAAGAATAAAGGGCTTAAAAGCAACATTCATGATGCATCCAGCGTCTCCAGATTAGGAAATCTAAAAAGGGGTGAAAACCTCATAAAGTTTAAGTGTAAATCAAACCGGAAATTGGGACAACTACAAACTTAATAAACCAAGAATATAGCAAATCTAATCTAATCATGAACGTAGAATTTAAAAGTAATATTTTTTATCCATAAAAACATCTAAGAACAATATAACATTGCATGAGTTAGAAACTGGGTAATGGGTTTAAAATAAGATTGTCAAACTCAAGAGTTTACAAAAATGCGTGAAGCTTCTTTAAACACTCAAGAGTTTACAAATAAACTTAGAAGAGTTTATGCAATAAAAAATTAATATTTAAAAACAAATTATTGAAATAAATTAATAGCAAAATACTAAAATACAAAATAATTCAACATTTCAACTTCAAAACAGAACAAAAAACGCACATCACAAATCATAAAAACATTTTATAAAATTAGATCACACTACTTAAATAACCAAATATATAAATTCATAAAAACACAAGTTATTAAAGTGAAAAAAATTTAAAAAGAAGCTAATTTTTCCAATCATTTCAGTCATGTTCTGCAGGTTGAAGGGGACAAAAGTTACTATTGATTTAAAACTTGTTAACTCACTTCTTGACTCGAGATTTTATGCAAGTTCCCATGAGTTTACCAAATTTACCAGAGTTTGACAGAAAGCTAACTCGTTTTGTTTCTCTAGAACCGTAAAACCATAAGAGTTTAAGGGTTAAACAAGAGTTTAACTACTGTGGTTTAAAGGAAACATAACAGTTTTGCTTTTATTTAAAAAATATATATTATTACTAAAAACTTCTAAGAGTAAGCTTTTTGTATTAACTAAAATGACATGTACGTTATATTGAAAGGGCATACCCGCTTTGCACCAGCCTGAGCACAAAATATAGAAAGGATTCCTGTACCACATCCAACATCAACCACAACCTGAAGGTAGATGATTAAGGAGCAGGAAGGACAGGAAAAGTCAAAAGAAACTTCAATCTAAAGAACTTAGAAAAAGAAGCAAATTATGATAGACAGCACGATATCAATGATTTGATATGAAACAAAAGTATCATGCATTTGTCGATTGTCCAATAACACAATCCTCAACAAGAGCCGTGGGTTCAGTCAGCAACCAACTGACCTACTTCAGTTGAAAAAATTTCCCCCTTTAGGCAAAGAGTTGCAATCTGGGTTTTAAATAGCGCATCATAGTCCCTCTATAGCAGTTTAGCAGTGTGGAGCAACCATGCCCACAATAGGGGCTGATGTAGCAGTGTTAGCGGGCACCGGTATGTGTTGATTCTGAAAAATACCTTGGAATGAAGATATTAAAGCTTTTTTGGAGGGATATTTCTGGGATTTCAATTTCCAGAATTGAAGTCTAAAGATGTAATTAGATGATAACTAAAAAGTTAATCTAGGATGCTTGTTGTTGATTTTACTTGTATTCTTGTTTAGGACACTTTGAATTTTTATAGTAAATTATAAATGTTTTCTTGAGTAACTTTTATAATTTCTGAGAATTTGCATGCATATAGTATACATTAAATAAACTATAAAAACATTGGTTGTAATAACAATTAAGTATAAATAGAGGTATTGCAATTATAGTTATTGATATCTCATAGCAAGTATTCCAAAAATGAAAAACAGAATCTTCAGATTTAATAGTTATGATAAGTAGATCTTATTTAAGAAAAAAAAAATCTGTTAGTCCATTAATAAGGACTAAAAAACAGATAATTGAGTGTAAGGATAGGAATTAGCCTCCCACTCGTCAAAATAAATGTACTTTAGGAAAAAGGCAAGGGCCGGAATTAAAGGCATTCAAACAAAAAGAAGGAAATATGGGTTTGGGTCAGTTTGGGAGAGTGTCCATCAAACATGATTCTGTTAGTAAAATAGCACAAAAAAGAAGTTAGGTTTGAGTGACAATTAGGAAGATAAGGAAGCAGACAGTTTATATCAGCTTTCTGTCTCCATTTTGGTGAGTGTGAGAGCTTTCCATTTATTTACAAGTAAAGCTTGATATAATTTTAATAGAATAACATGGTTTTAAATTGCAGTTGCTGTTTCATCACAATCCTTGACAAGAGATAACTAAAAGGGAGGAGTACAGGGGACATGTTGTAGAAGCAATTCCATTGCCGACCCTTTAACGTATATTTCATTTTTTTATTGAACGTATATAAAATCCTACGCAATCCCAAACACCTACATGCCATTTAAAGGCATCTATAGAAACGAGTTTCGTCAAAGGTTCAGCACAATCATTTCAAAGGTGGAGATATACTTAATGACCAAATGAAATCAGGTATAATGCGTAAAACCATGATTAGTAGCAAAGGGTGCATTGCATTCCAGTGAGAATACTCAAGAATGTTACTAATATGATTCCAGTTTCCTATCAGTAGGGTTTTCCGTTCTATTGGAAATAAGATTTGTCATGTTGGACCACATACAAATTATCAAGTACTCCAAATATATTTTGGTTGAAAAACTGAATTCCCTCCCTCAATCTTTATATAACCATTTAAATAGAGGCTAAACTCTAGTTCTGAACACGATTTTGCAAATCATGTAAGTATCATACTAGGATTAGGGTTCTACGACTCCTGTCTGCTACAGGGATCATAATGGAAGTTCAGAGTTTTTCAATTACTAGTTTTAGCTATGATTCTATTAGTGGGGTAGAGTTATTCGAGAATTATTCCTTGTGTGGCTACAGTACTTGTCGATACTCTTCAAAACATGAGATAGATATGCAGCATTAATAATCAACTCATAAAGTACATTGTTATCTGAACAAATAGAAATGAGCATTTGCAGATAAATAAAAAACAAGAAGGAAAAGGTGAATAAATGAATTAATATGTGAGGTGGAAAAATTACTTTGCCTGCAATGAAACTCTGATGCTGCATGATAGCTTCCCTGTAAGTTTCAGTTCGCACACGATCCTGCATCCGAAAGCATGAATGGTGATATGAATAAAGAGAATGAGTGTAAGGGAAAAAAATTGAAAATGAGAAAAGAAGACGAAGCGAAACCTTGATCATCTCTTGGTGGATACCGAGGTGAGCGTAGGAATGGAAATAGGCGACGTCGAAATCAGTACAGGGAGGTCGATGGTGTTGCGGTTGCTGCTGCGATTGCGATTGGTCGAAAACCCTAAGGGAGTGCGTGGAAGAAGGGGCACGTGACCTGCGAGTGCCGCGACGGACTCGCTCTCTGTGACTGTGGCTGTGGCTGTGGCTGTGACCCATTGCAGGCACCGGCTCATAGCCGTTACTATGATTCTCTCTCGGAAACATCTTCCCTCACCCCTTCTCTTCTTCCAACTGCGCCTTCTCAACTCAATTCAACTATATATAAATAATAAAGAAAAAAATCATTATTTTTGTTGTAATCTTTCTCCATCCCTATTTTTTTTTTTTCACAAGGAAGGAAAATAAAAGAAATGTGAGAAAAAAAATTGAAATAAAGTTAAAAATTATACTTATTAAAACATTTAATAAAAAAGATAATATTTCCAAAAACTAATAAAAACTAAATAATTATATGACTATAAAATTATTTATATATTTATTTTGAAAAGATGGAAATGTTTGAATTTTTTTTAATATGTTTCTCGGTTAATGCTTGTATTTCGGTGGGAAATAGAATATTCGAAATTTATAGAAAGTGAAGTTTTTTTATTACTTCCTTTATTATTAAAGAAATACAATGTTTTCTTTCTGGTTATTTTGTTGCATAAACCACTTATCAGTCAAGATTTTCCATCAACAATAACGTACTCTTCATTCTACTGTTTCTGCCCATGAGTATATGAACCGTTTGTTTGTGTATTCAGGCCCTTTGAATCCATTCATATTAATATCCGTTACTTCCTGACAATTCAACTTCATCATGCCCCAACCAAAAATAAAAGGAAACAATGTGAAAAAAAAAAAAGTTAAGGTTTTACTGTTTTTTAATAAAAGAACGTGAATACCTTGTTTTAGTGCTTGTAGCTATTCATTTTTATTACATGTAAATATCCACAAACTTTTTCTATTAGTAATAATACTGGAGAATATAATTCACCTTGTTAAATAGATATATCTTAATTCCCTTTTCTTGGTGCCTGTAGTTATAGCTTTTGTTTCGCGAGTAGAGTGTTCCACGAATGCTGTGAAGTTGAGAATATCCATAAATCATACAGTTCCAACAAAACAAACTCGTGCTTTCAGTGTTAAGGAAAACAATCTCAATGCAAGTTTGGGTTTTCAAATGTAACTTGACGACGTGGGCCTGCAACTGAAGGGTCAACTGAGAGGAGGCAAGGCAGGCACAAGCCTTCATTGTACGAGTATAGGAAAAGCGGTCACCGTTTTGAATTACATGATCAGAGCAGAGCTATTGAAAAATCATAGAGGTCAATTTGGGTGAGATATGTTTACAAGAAAGTGTGGATGATAATTGGTGTTGAAGTGGAGATTCTTTAAGTTGTTATACAGTTAAAGGAGTGTATGAATTTTTATCTGCACATGATATTATTAACAATGCTAATATTCTGAAAGGAATGTACCAATCATGTTCCTTTAAAAGTACAATCCTTTCAATGGAGACTTCTTCATGACAGAATGTCAATGACCCAACCCATTTCACAAAAGTAAATTGGATTAAGTTCCATTAAACGAATTGGCGGATAGAGTGCATTTGGGTTTTGTGTATTGACTCTAGTTACTCCATCTAATTTTCTACCAATAGGATAAATAAAATAGGTTTTACTTAAAATATGTTTTTCATTCTATTCTATTTTATTCCATTTCGTTAATTATTCAATATTCAACCATAACCTTCATATGCTAGGTAGCCCAAACAACAACAAATTCTAATTCAAATGCAGGTTCCAAGAATTCATCTAATCAAGTATTGTTTAAGGAAATATGACTATTCGCATTGTTCACACCAAGTTCAACATGGGAGTGAATTTTAATAATATTATGCACATCATTTATTTATTTTTTTATGAATGCATTCATGCAAGGGCCAAGTTGCTTTGAGCTAAGTTTGTGACCACCTCATTTGTTTCCTCCTTCATATTACATGTCAGAAGCTACTCAGAGTCAGCTCAAGTATTATTTTTCCTCTTTATTATTACATCGATCGAGAAAAGGCAAATAAGTGTGAATTAAGAAGGGGTCGGTGTCGCCCCACCTGCTCATAACTCATCTTTTCCATGATCATTGAATGCTCATAACTCATCTTTAGATGCTCCATCTCTTCCATGATCATTGAATGATGCATATGCCTTGATTATTGACTCGTAGATTTCAATCCCTTTCAAGTACTCATCTTTGTGCAGAAACTGCATAAAGGAGAAAAAAAAAAGTCAAATCCTATGCCAGTGATCTGTGAGTCAACTTTTCCAAACATAGGTGGTTTTATTATGAGTAAAATGAATTGTTTGATGTGGTTCTTAAGTCTTTTACAACAATATTTCTAATATAATTAGGAGTACTTAATAAAGAATCACTTACATTAAAAAGAAATACAACAATTATTGAAAAGTTAAGGATGGTTTTGACTAAATTCATATTAATTGAATATTTCTTAATTGAATATTCATTGGCCCCTACATGTTTATGGTTACACTTTCTTTACCACATTCTAGTCTCTGCTGGTCTGGCAAACAAGGGTTTGTAAGAGGCTAAAGTCAACCCAGATGCCACAACTGTATTAGGAAAAAAACTATGGGAATAAAATAAAAGTGTGAAATCAATAACGAAATTTTTTGTCCATGACTACTGTTTTAGCTAAGTCAGAGCAAATGCAGTGCATCTTAAAGCCTTATCTTAAGTAGGCCTCTATAGCAGCAAGCTTCAGTTCTAAATAACAAATCAGAGATAGGATTCTAAAGACAATGATAACTCTTGTGCAAATAAGCTTACAGACAAAACCAGCAATATGCATACAATAAATTAAAGGAATCACCTCATTATGGTCATGGAGTAGAACAGGAGTGTTTGCCATAGGTGAGAATCCAATTGCTGGTAATCCAAGTTCACGGAAGTAGCGTGAATCAGTAGCGGCAGGAAAGACCTCTGGCTTACCAAGTTTCCCACCAGCCTTTTGGACAGCATTTTCGAAAAGGTCCCACCAGGGATTGGAACCATCGGTTTTAGTGAGGATTGGTTTCCCAGACTTATTGCGCGTCGGTGCCTTCTGTTTGAACTGTCCAAGATAATTAAAATTAGATGCAGAATCCATTTAGGGGGTGATTTAGTCTCAAAATGAGGAAATTCTTCAAATAATCAATCATGTGGTATACAGACGAGAATTTGAACAAAAGTAATCACCCATACCATCACATGAGAAAACATGAAGGCCCTTTCCAACCATCCTTTTAAAAGTCAGTTATTCCAAAAACAATATATATCCATTTCATAACCATCATCACCGGGGCCTTCATAACGGTAGGTCAATCTGGGATGTTAAATGTGAACACCCATTTTTAAATAATTTATACTTTGATTCATAAAGCCTAACCAAGATCAATCCCCATCCTTTAAACAAACAAATACCTTGATGTCTTCGCCCTTTTCTTGAAAACATAAACAATCTAATCAATTTGCACTCGTTTCATTTTATTTTTTCTAGCATAAGCTTTATTTTCCATATACACATGCAAGTATGATTCACAGTAAGCATTGTCAACAAACAAACAATTATGTGATTACAGTCATCTCAAACATCATCCATACTCACACCCATAACATATACATGTCCACAAACCAAAATAGAAAGGCACCTCCACCAGCCAAAACCTTGAAACGATTAGAAGTAAGGAACAAAATTGAACCAACTGATACAATAGAGCTTTGTGTAACTAGACACAAACAACAAAAAGAATGATTACTTACCAGAATATCTAGCCATGTAAAGAAGTGAGAGGACACAAATCTATCTCTAGTTAGTTCTTGTAGATACTTGGTAATGAAAATTGAGGTTTATATACTATTTGTAGCAAAGCAAGAAAAACTTTGTATTTTTACAAGCTTTTTGGTTATATTGACTGGAGAATTAGAAACTAACAATTATTAAAGAAATTACATGCTTCCAATAAACTACTTGAAATTTAAGCCGTTTTTCTATATAACCTTATGTTAGCTCAGGACCGGCTAGAATAGAAATGGAATTTTCAATGCTTTTTCTGTTTTTTGTCTCCGTTGTTCTAGATCTAAACACTAAAAACAGCAAGCCCTTACCCGTGACATTATCTTTTTTTTCTAGTTGATAAGGTAAACAAAAATTGCAGAAGGTGAAGGTCAATTATCTAATATGTTCTACCGCATACATTCTATCTAAACAGCAGAAGGTTCCTGTGGGTGCAAATTTCAATAGTGAAAAAGCGAAGCAGTGAACCAACTATAAGCAGGTGTATTAAAAATATACTAGATGGAAGAAATATATATAGAGCAAAAAGTAGATAAGAGCTAATTACAGAGAATGACATATTGCGGGACGAAGGAGCCCACTCTTCAGCAATGCGTCTCTCCAAGGATTCTGGATCAGCAGTAGGTGGCACCCGAATATCAAATCCAGCTTCTGCTTCAGACGGCTGCAAATTCATGACAAAACCCTGGCCAAGCAAAAGACGGATAGGATAGAATCATCTGAGACTGCCAGATTACTCAACCATAGTCGTTTGTGAGGCATGTGAAATGTGTCAATTCAACTAAACTGTAACCATGTTCAGGAAACACGGTCAAAATGTACAACCGAATATTGACATAATAAGAGAAAACATAATGTTGAGAGTACTAGCAACAGTCTCCGTGCATTCACTATTATACTAAAGTTTGTTTCTTTGATTAAAATTCCCATGGGTCCTATTAATTTGGGAATAAGACCCACCAGTACCAAATGGGAGATGGAGGCCACATAATTAATGAAACGTACATGAATTTCACTTCACCTTAGTAACCCACATAATTACTTCGAAAAAAGAGAGACATGTCCCAACATTTTTATTCTCTTGTAGTCTATTCTATGACAAGGAGAAAGATTGATTTATAAACGGAAAATCATATATTATAACAATAATTATTATTATTGCATAACATTCTCAACATGAAAGGGTACACTAAGTATGATGGAGTAGACTTACAGTGGGAGATGGAGTTCCAGCCTTGAGAAACACCATGTTAACAGAGACAACGTCTCCTTCGGCCTTCAAGCCGGCCTTGATGAGATCGAACTGCGAGGCGCGAAACCTTCTGATACTTTCAATGCTCTTGAGGAGATTCTCCATGGCAGAGTTATCATAAAGCTTGGAGCCATGACCGGGAGCCCCAACGGACTTGATGACCATCCACCAGGGGGTCCTCTCAGCATAGAAGGCCCTGTAGTGGGCGTCAGGGGAAGCCAGACCTTCGTCAAGCACCACACCCACATTCATCCGTTGGAAGATCTCAGACTGGGCAAACTTCTCAGCGCCGTCGTGGCCACCGATCTCCTCGTCGGGGGAGAAGGCGAGGTAGAGAGAGCGGAGGGGCTGGAAGTTTCGGGCCTTGAGACGGCGGACGGCTTCGAGGTACTGCATGCCGACGCACTTCATGTCCTGGGAGCCTCGGGCGAAGATGCGGCCGTGAGAGTCGAGGTGGGCGCTGAAGGGGTGGTGAGTCCACTTGGAGTGTTCGGAGGGAACGACGTCGGTGTGGGAGTAGAGGAGGATGGAGGGAAGGTGGGGGTTTTTGCCCTCCCATTTCAGAAGGACCAGAGGTTTCCCTCCAACAAACTCTATGCTTTCGGATTCCAGGGAGAGCCCTTTGCCTTCCGATATCAGAAAATCCGCCACTTCCTGGTAACGCGGGGTGGGTTGTGCAGTGTTGATTTTCAGGTATTGCTGGAATCTTGATATGATGCTGCTTTCCTCTGATTCTGATTCTGATTCTGGCTCTGCTCCTTCCATTGATACTGCTGCCAGCAAAAGTATGCAGAATATGATTCTGCAACTCACCTCCATCGCTGCTTCTGCTTACTCTCTCTGCCCACACTCTCACACTCAACAACCTTACTACTTCCTTACTTAGGTTTTTCTTTGCTTTTTTATCTTAATACAATTTTATATATTCAAAGATTCAACCAGACTTTTCTCCTTTTTCTTTTTTTCAAAATTAAGATAACCATCTTTAATACATAGAATAATATAATTTATTAGTTATTTCGGAAAATTCATTTAATTCTTACGTGAACAAGTAATTCAATTAAAGCGCTCGCTCAACGCAACAGACAAATACCTCTCTCTCGGCAAAGTTCTTCTCCTTCATTGTTACAGTTACATGTCAGAAACCACCTCACTGAGACAGTACACAGTTGCATTCCATCGAGAAAAGGCCACACCATCTCTTCCATGATCATCACACCATGCAAGTGTCTTGACTTTTAATTGACTCCTGAATTTCAATCCTTTTCATGTTTTCATCTTTATAAATTGCATACTTAATCAACTAGGATGAAGAAACACTGGCGTAGTTTCGCATGGAAAATATTAAAGATTAAAATCAAAACTTTCGTATACACATGTCAGTACGTGGCACAGTGTGGAAACAAATAAAGAGTTAAGCGATTATACAGTCATCGGAGACATCCACACCCCTACACACCATCTCTGCGTACACAAACCAAAGAAAGGGAAAAATACCTTCAAACTAATGACCACGATAAAATTGAGCCAACTGACACAACCGAACTTACAGTGAATGTATCGTATTTCAACTGACACGCGTCATCCATGTAGCAGACGAATGTCACGATCTTATATCTTTTAATCCAGATGTCACTTTCTGTAACTGCAAAATTCTATTAAAGTGAAAAACAAAACATTGATTCAATACCCTCTATCATCTTTCTACTAATCCTTACTTGTTTTGTATATCAAGTATTGAATGAATTTTTTATTGTCATCGCATTAAATACATTTACTTCTTTTTTTTTATCAGGACAGAGATACATACATTAGTCACTAAATTCATTGCCCGAATTTTTAATTAATCAAAATGAAAATAAACCTGTTGTCCATCAGAAAATATTGAATTATTAAACCAGCCACTAGAGGCACCTAAACATCTCCGGTTGGAGAATGGGATCAAAAGGTGTGTAAAACACCAAATGTCAAGTAATTTGAATGAGATAAGGAACCAATTTGTTCGGGCAAGAAATCACAATTTTAGGGCAACATCTAACTTCACGCATATCATATCAACCAATATCTTTCATCACTCTTCCCTTTTCCTTAAATTTCTCTAACGTGAATCCAGTGGAAATATAGGGCAATCATCATGAACCTCGAGCAAATTGGATATTTGACTTCTAAGTAATTACACCATCACTGTGTTCCAATAGACATACCCACTATAGTCATGAAACAGTTGCAGTGGTAAAGATAAAGAATCTACGTATCTTGTGAAACTGAAAGAATGGATGATAATATTACCAATAATCACCACAGGAACATGAGCCATCTGTAAAATGATGGAATCTATTAATATCTCTAACAACAATTTCCCTTGAAACAATTTTACATAAATATTTGAAAAAGGTGTGACAGTCAACACAAATTCGTAGATTCTTCTTCACTCTTATAGGGGCACCAGGTGGCGTAGCAATTAATCCAAAGGCCACAGCAAGTTTCTCACTATGGTGATATAAGAGCTTCTCCTTTACACTTCTGTTCACATTATGTATATCAATCTCCACAATGGGACTGTATCCAGCCTTACTTAGAAGGTCACCCAACTGATCTAGTTTAGCATATATTTCATCACTTCTAGAATGACTTCTGTCTCCAACGATGAAAGTGTATACCTTGTCTTTGATCTCAATCCAACTCATTCCAGGCTCCTTCTTCACCTTGCTGTCTTTCATCAGCTTTCTAACCATAGCAACATTTTCCCACATCCCTGCAGAGGCATAGATGTTGGCAAGGAGAACATGGGTACCGGATTTCTCTGGCTCTAGATCATAAAGCTTCTCTGCAGCTTTCTGACCGAGTTCTATATTTTTATGGATTCTCGCAGCTCCTAGAAGTGCCCCCCAGACTGAGGCATCGGCCTCAAATGGAATGGAATTTACAAGCTCCACTGCTTCATTTAATTTCCCAGATCGTCCAAGGAGATCAATCATGCAAGCATAGTGCTCTTGTGTGGGTTTAATCCCAAACATTTCCTCCATTTTTTCAAAATATTGGCTTCCCTCATTTACCAAACCAGCATGATTGCATGCACATAGAACGCTAACTAAAGTAATATAGTTGGGTGGCACACCATCTCTAAGCATTTGATTGAACAACTGAAGAGCCTCTTTGCCATTGCCATGCTGAGCATATCCTCCTATCATTGCAGACCATGAGACTATCCCTCTGTTAGGTATCTCAAAAAAGGCACGATCCGCATCCTCTATGCTTCCACATTTTGCGTACATATTAACCAGAGAGTTGCTAGCAAAAATATCGCACATAAATCCAAACTTGATGGCATGGACATGTAATTGTTTCCCTTGCTCATATAATGACAACTTTGCACAAGCATTTAAGAGAGAACTGCATATAAATGGATCTGGCTTGATATCTGCATCTTGCATTTGTAAATATAGCTTTAAAGCCTCCTCTCCATCCCCATATTGAGAATATGCTGTTATCATGGATGTGTAAGCCACCAAATCTTCCCAAGTGCGCTCTTCAAATATTTTTGAAGCTTCATCTATATGGTTACATTTTCCATATGTGTCGAGAAGACTGTTTATAACATAGAAATCTGAATAAATTCCAGATTTGATGGAAATTGTATGAATCTGCTTACACACCTTAATTGCCTGCAAGCTGGCAACTGATTTGAGAACTGTTGAAATAGTAGTTTGGTTGAAATCTATATCTTCATTGTACATTTTAGAAAAAAGTGAGACTGCTTCTAGGTCATCGCCACACTGTGAGTAACCAGAGATCAAAGCATTCCATGCAATAAGGTCCTTCTTTGGCATCGAATCATAAGCTCTTCTTGCATCATCCATCATTTCACACTTGGAATACATATCTATAAGTCCAACAGAAGCAAACAAATCTGAATCAGCATCCATCTTTATCAAACTAGAATGTATCTGTCTACCCAACTCCTTGAACCCCATTGCAGCACAGGCCTTTAAAGCACTTGACAGTGTAAACATATTGGGACAAGTTCCTGAGCTTTTCATCTCATCCAACAGCACCAAAGCCAAATCATTACGATCGTGGAGAACACAACCTGCAATAACTGCATTCCAAGAAACCACATCAGGCTGTGCAATTTCCTGAAAAACAGCAACCGCACCTTCAATTTCCCCTGCTTTAGCATACATGTCCACTAACGCATTTGCAGAAAACTGATCCAAATCAAGCCCCATCTTTAGCATAAGCCCATGAAACGTCCTTCCTAGACCACCATCCTGCAACCCGGCGCAGGCATTCAATATGATGGAAATGCTGAACTCGTTAGGCATTATTCCACTCCTCACCATTTCCTTAAACAGATCCACAGCCTCACCTCTCAACTCACTTTGCACATAACAAGAGAGCAAGGCGTTCCATGAAACAACATTTTGCTCCATAATTCCACCAAATAACCTCTTAGAATCATCTAGCAACCCACACTTGGCATACATAACAACCAAAGTGTTGCCAACAAACTTATCAGACTCGAACCCCGTGACCACAGCCATCCCATGAACCTTCCTTCCCATGTTTAAATCTCTCTTCATTGAACATGCCTTAAGCACACTTGGGAAGGTATACGCATTGCACTTAACACCCAACAAGAACATCTCGTTAAACACCAACAGTGCCTCCTCCACAAACCCATTTTGTACATACCCAGAAAGCAAAGAAGACCAAGAAACCACGTCTGGTTCAGAACTTACATCAACCAGCTTGCGGGCATACCCAAAACGACAACATTTGGAATACAGAGTTACCAAGTGGTTCCTGAGACTTGGATGACGGGAAAATCCAAACTTGATCAAGTGGGCATGGAGTTCCATACCTAAACTTAGGGACTTTGCAGCAACACATTGTGATAAGAGGTTGGAATAGGATATGGAGGCGTTTGTGAGGCTTTGTGAATCTTTTACGATGGTGGCAGGAGACGTGGTTTGTATACTGGGGGGTTTGAATGGGAGGTAGAGACGTTGGAGAGTACTGTGTGGAAGGAAATTGATGAACCACAACCTTGGAGATGTTTTGTTTATTGACAACATGCTGTTGTTATTGCTATTGCACTGGTTACAGCGAAGGAAAGAGATGCCTTCTCTCAACCCATGAACGAAAGACAGGGTCCAGGCGTAGGAAGATATTCTGATTCGTGATACGACGCTGCTTTCTTCTTATTCTGACTCTGACTCTGATACTTCGATGATATTGCTGCTATCAGAGAATGAGGAAGATGAGTATCATGTTTCTGCCACTAAACTCCATAGCTGCTTCTTCTTTGTGTTTATGATCTCAACAAGCTTATTTAATCTGAAAATTAAAATTCTAATATGTTTTTAACAATTGAAAAGTGTTTTCTTTTAAAATAGTCTAGTTTTGCATTTTATAAAAACTACAACCGTTTCTAATAATTGATAAGTAGTTTTTTTTAAGATATACATATATATATATATATATATATATATATATATATATATATATATATATATATATATATATATATATATATATCAAGAACACTTTTTACTTTGTTTCCTTTTATTGTTCTTACGTGGAGAACTTCATGGAGTTTCCCATGTCATCTTTGAGATTCATTGGTTGAAACAGTACAAGTGTTCATTCTACTAAGAATTACATCAAGAGGTATCAAAAGTTTGTATTCAACACACCATTAAAAAAATGTTCTTCGTCATTCCAAGTAAGTATTTTATATGGATTTATCTTCCTTTTTTTTTTCTTCCAAACAAATATTTTGTTTTGACGAGTTTAATGATGTTTTGTTGGTCGAATATTTTTTAAAATTTTGAAAGATTGAGTGTAAATGAAAAAAAAAAAAAAAACTGCCATATTGAGTACCATTTAAAGATCCCCATCCTATCTCTTCCTTATTACAGCTAATAAATTCGGGACTGTGTTATGAGAGGTATGAAAGAAACCCAAAGGTGAAAATGACTTACAACAAAATAAAAAATCAACCAGATTGTTAGATCCACACGATCAAACAATTTTCTTATAGGACAATTTAAAAAAAAAAAACTCTACGGTTTTCTTTTTTTAAAAAAAAAAAAGAAAATTATTGACAATAATTTTAATCTTTTTTAAAAGAGTATAATATTTTTTTTCTAACTACAGCAACCTCAAACAATAATTATTTCACTACATTTTCATCTCTTATGTCACATAACCTTGAATTTTTCATTTTCCATTGCATTTTACATGTATAACCTTCGCTCTAACTTCCACTAATGAGGATGACAACTTTTATTATTAGTGCAATTATTTGTTTTCTTTTCTGTAAAAAAATTATAATTATTAATAAACTTATTTTATGTTTAATGTATTACTATATTATTAAAAAATATAATTTAATTGAACCGATTGACCTTAACCCATACATTTTACGTAGTCAATGAGCTAGAAGGCTAAGTAATAAAGATGTACGGACTGGTCAATCCCATTGTAAAAACAAATCTTGATTTTTAGACTTCGACTCTATGTTAGACAAAAAAAAGATAACATATCAGTTGGTTCCATTTAAAAAGTAAATCTCAAATTTAAAATTAAATATACATATACATTTAAAATTTAAGTCCTATATTTCTACCTTTGCCATTAATGAGATATTTAACGATTAAAATTGGGTACCCTTTTATCTATGTATTTATTTGAATTGCTTGGAAATTTTTCTACAATTGTATACTATGTTCCTCGTAGGTTCGATTTATTTCCGATATTTAGCTCCACTTTTTCAAACATTATCAATATAAAAACAAGTCACAGTGCTCAGATATCAAACAACTCACTATGAGCATTCAAACATCGTCTCAATCTGTTTTAAAGGATGTCATAGCCAATATTAACATGTTTCACAAACGTTTGGGAGGGATATATTGCACACGCTCATCCTCGCATATAGCCTGCAAATGTGCATAACCAAATTAATAAATAAACTAACTTCATACAACATTAACTAAGTGAAATAAAGATAGTACAAAAGACAAATGATCACGTCTCATGCCCATGGGTGGCTACTACCTAGCTTGAACGAACCTCTACCGTTTCACCAATGCGACATTAACAACTTATCATTTCATAATGGAACAACAATTCATTACTTAAATGACCTCAATCTAAGTACTTAAAGAACTTCATCAAAACCCCAACTCCGGAGGTTACTGTATTGTACATAACCCAAACTTCAACAAACAACGCATTAAATTGCCATATATTTAACAACCAACCACGTACACACTAGTGCTAGAAGGCACATCTAAGGAGGCAGTCCACAAAAAAGCTAGAGTTAAATTATGGTAGAGAGGAAACCCCTAGCAAGAAATGCATGATGTAGAGTAAGTTTGAGTAAGCAACTCAATACATCATTCTTCAATGGTGAATTATTGCTTTAGCATGATTGTGAGTATTGACTTGGTATGATTTTATGTGGTAGACTAGTTAAAAGCATGACAAAATGGTAACAGATTGCGTTGTGCATCCTGGCCCTGAATAGAAGTGGCACTGCATTTCAATTTTGGGAGTGCTATCACAGACAAATACGGGATAAATTGCCGCCATTGTAGGTAAATTTTGAAGTTGCATCTGATTATCCCCATTGGAATGAAAATATAACACAGGAGGTGTTTAGAATGGCTTCTATGGAGGTTATTTGATCTTATAAAAACTTAAGGTTTTTCTATAAACTCTTCAAAAATAAATATCAGGGAGAAGATTTTTGTTTTTGTTTTTTTTTTTTTTTAAGAAAAGCTCTGTTTAGAGCTTATATCTTGAAGTTTCACAATCAACCTTATGAATAAGCTCTTCTACGATAAGAGCTTTCCATATAGCTAGCCAGTAAGGAATAATATAATTTATTTAATAACTGATAGAATATTAAGAGTGGTATAGGAAATATATGTTAGATTTGTGCTTTACGAATCTCATACTTGACCTACAATCTTATTATCCAATATTGTTGGATATTTTGGCTCACTACGGATCTAATTTCAACAGGTGATTACATTAATTGTTGACTGCATTCGCTCTGCACTGGTTCTCCCTGTCTATCCCCCCTTAATGCTGTATTTGGTAGAGAAGAGAGAAATAAGTTGGATGAAAATAAAATGAATAAGTGGAAGGTGAGAAATACGGTGAAGCTAAAGACGGCTGAAAGAAAAAGAAAAAAAAAAAAAAGATGGAGAGATAAGTAAAAAAATGTGAGAGAAAGCCCAACGGGTCCCCTATTTTTTAAAATTATTATTGCTCCTCTCTTTCCCTCCCACCAAACAACCTACATTCATTTCATCCTCCCCCAATTCTCTCAACCAAACACACCATAACTGACTGGACCCACTCTGTTCCTTGGGTGTTCTCACCATTTAAAAGAAATAGCTACGAATCACTATTTAAAAGCATCCTAATATATTATGTAATCTATATCTATATCAGACCAAATAGAAATATACCAACCTGCATCTCTTCTGGAAGTGCCTCTGAGACAGCAAGAGTATAAACACCAGGAACAAATTTTCCTGCAAATATTCAAGGAGAACCCAAATATTACAACTTAACAGCAATACATGTTATCAATCTAGATAGAAATTTAGTCCACAAAAAATCATCCATTCAGTTTCCTTTTCAAACTATTGTCACTTTACTTGGCATACAGTTTAGCAGATTCCTTGGAGTGAAATTTAACAAAATAACCAAATAAACGCATTAACTTAACTCTATGGTGTTTTCGTTTTACCTTTAATCTTTATGCTACTTGTCATGATCCAATGTTCCGTATATAATCACATTAACAGACAACAAAAGTAGTAGCAAGCAAACAACAATGTGGAGAACACCATTCAGCATTATATTTCATTTTATTCAAATTCAAGCTCACACAACTTCCTGAGTTCTCAAAATACCTTTTAGATCTTGTCAGACAGAAACAAGATTGTATAATTAAAATTTGAATATAAAGTTAGACGACTCTTTGCAGTTAAAGAATGTGAAAAAGATGACAAACTTAATCAAAAGAAAATGTCATGATGTATATTCCAAAATAATACTGTCACGTCATCAGAGTGCTGTTAAGGAAGGGCTAAAATGCTTTTGGTGCCTAACATTCAAACCTTAATTAGATTCCATAGTTTCCTTGTAATTGATTCTAAAAGAACATGTTTCAAATTGTACCCAAAACCCAAAAGTGATTACTGTTCCCAAACGACAGCAACCCAAATTAAGGGGCCAAAATATATATTTAGTCTAAAGAAAAAGAAAAGTGAAAGGCAAGGCAAGGAAAAATTATAATAATTGCAACTGAAGAAAAATGAACGTACCAATGCGCAACCATCGGGCAGCCCAACTGCGAGATGGATCCATAACTGAAATGATCCTGTCGAATAATTAAATGGAAGAAGAAAATCGAAATGAGTATTAAGAGATTAAAAAAGTGGAGAAATTTTCATGAAAAACAATTGAAACGAACAAACCCATTAAAATTAGGAGTAGTGCAATCAACAACACGCTCATGATCTTCTTCCATCTTAAAGAATTGGCAGTTCTCACAGCCTGACTCACGGAACTGCGAAACACAAACAGAAAGTGTAAAAAAAAAAGGCAAATGAAAAGCAGGACTAAAAATGTTAAAATGGTGATAAGACCTGATCGTAGGTTTTGACAAGGCGGCAACGAAGACAAGCCCTCAACTCATGGCCAAAGCTAGTAGGAATTTGTGCAGGCGCAATTGCCATTTCTTTGTAGCTCACTGACAGACAAACTAATAGAAAATTAGGGTAAGCTAAATAGAAAGAGATAAAATTAGGCTCAAACAAATTTCACTCACGCCTCAAATGATCACAGGTACTGCCGGTGCTTCCTGCGCCGTCGAGCTCGTGATTACAAGGTGGGTTCAGCGACCGGAATCCGGGAAGACAATGGTTGCAGGTTTCCTACTTAAAATCTACAATCCTTTCGACAAAACGCGGGAGTGCAAGGAGAGTTTCTTTGGGTGCAGGAAGCAATACTCCATTTTATGAGCCTGTCCATGAATGTGAGAAAAGTTGGTTCAAATTCATTGGGCCTCAATTTCAATATTTTATATAAAGTAATAAAATCTTCACTCAATTTTTTTATTTTATTTTATATAAAGTGTTTGTATTTTTCTTCATTTATTATATGTTTCCTTTATATATTGTTTTCTGTCTTTTATATGGAGTATAAACTTTTTAAAATATATATATATATATATATATATATATATATATATATATATATATATATTTCAGTATATTGACCATGCTTTATTTTAATCAAAATTGTTTTGTTTTTGAAAATGGAGTAACATTGAGAATCTTTAATACTAGAATGTACATCTAAAACTACGTAAATCTTTATTTTTAAAACTAAAATATTTATTTTTAATTTTATATTATTAAATCTCTAATGAAATGTTAGTAAAAAAAAAAAATTGAAGAAAATAAATTATGTTAATTATATTTTAAATGTTATGTTTGAACATCCGAATGACCTAGTTTATAATATGAATTAATTATCGAGAGTGTAATGCAGAGGATAGAGAGGATGAAGGGAAGTAAGAAGGGTAAGAGGGAGAAGGAGAAGAAGACGAAGATAGAGGATGAAGTTGAGGAGATGTTACAGGCAGTGCAAGATGAAGTCCTCTTGACTCTCTCCCAAGCCCACATGACCCGTGCTTCTTCTTCCGTTGAGGATCTGGATCCGGATCTGGAGCGTCGATTCCAGGCCCTCAAAATGAAAACCAAACCTAATCCCCAACAACAGGATCAAGATCTCTCCGCCAGATTTGGTGCTCTCAAAGCCAAATCATCAAGATCCATTTCCAATTCCAATTCCTACAAAGAAGAAGAAGAGAGCGAAGACGACGAAGAGACTCAAGTTCAGAAACTCATCCAGTGGGCTAAGGATGCTGCAAGGCTTAATCCTTCTCCGCCCTCCGATGACGACGACTGAGATCTCTAGAATCGAAATCATTTTTGTTTTACTGTTACACATCATTCATAGCAAACTTTAACTTCGCTTGTTGTGTATATAACTTCCCCTCCCATCACTTAGATTATATGCTCTGTTCTGATTTTCAATTATCATGAAGCATAGGGCTCTGTGTTGGCCAATTTAGTCATTCAAACAACTATCTGCAATTAAAGGCTTCAAGTTATCTAGTGGGACATATCAAGTTTGCAAGTAAGATTTTATTTCATAACTTTGCTTTCAGCTAATCTGAGAGGAATATAATTTATAATAAATGTGTTTATAATTTTATAATATGAGTGTATATTATCTCAAACAAGTTAAGGCAATGGTCTTTTATCGTCCATTTCTAATTTAAAATTACTTTGGTCGCAATTTTTTTTTTGTCACTTCATCGTCCTTGAACAAGATTGTTTCCATAAACTATTATTAAATGAGAGAATTTCTATGATTTATTCTTAAAAACAACATTTTTAACAGTTATGATTCACTATCGATAAGCCTATGACTCTTTCTCTTCTATATAATTAGTGTGTTTAATATTAAAATGTTTATAAAAATTACTTATTAATTTATAATTATTAAATTGTTTAAGGAGAAAGTTTGTTTATTGTTGATCATAAATATATCTATTTATTTAACAAGATCAAGATGATTATCGCGTCAAATTATTTTTTTAAAGTCGTAAAACACAAAAATTCACAGCAAAAAAGTTTTGAAGGTTAAAGGAATGATTCCATCTACTTTTTTTACCTAATTAATATATTATTTTTAATTTCCAAAATATTACCTCCCTAATATTATTTATCCAACTAGAATTACTAATTCAGAATTCGGTACTCAAATAGTTGAATTTTGAATTGATTTTTCAATTTTTTATTATAAATTTAGAAATTATTATTTTTATAATTATAAATTTTTTTAAGTTTAGGATATTAATTATAATTATTTAAAAGTTTATAATTTTAATTTATATAATATATATAATTTTAATTTATGTTATATATATATATATATAATATTTTGAATATATTATATCTTTAACATTATGGATTTTTTTATTATTTAATATTGTATATATATATATATATTAATATATTTTATATATAATTTATTATAAAAACATAATTATATATTTATATTTTTTTAAATTATAATTAATTATTTAGAAATTATTTAATAAAAAATAAATACTAAAATCTAAACAAAATTTATGTGAGGTCAAAAAGATATTTTTCATTAACTTTTAAGATTAATACATAAGGAAATTTTCAAAATGAAATAATACAAAGTTAAAACTTTAATCTCCAATAGTGATTTCAGGTTCCACAATGAGTGTGTCATCTATTATGTCCTGAATTTCTTCATTGTGGTTGTTCCTCGTTGAGGAGGATCTTCTTCTACAGGGAGTTGGAGATTTTTCAACTGAGTTTTTGAAGTTGTTGGTTGATTAGGATCTTGTGGTTGGTATAGAGACCTCATATAAGCAGCTGTTGAAGTTGGAGTTAAAAAATCAACTCCAAATAGGTTAGTCATCATTTCATTTGAACTTGCAGCAAAAGAATGTCTTTCTTGTATCTTTGGAGTTGGTGTGTGATATTGGGGAGGTGCATGCTGATAAGGTTGAGGTTGTTGGTAGGAAGGTGTAGAACTTGTACCAGTTTCATAAGTGGAACGAGTTTGTTGTCTATCTCTTGGGGCTTATAGTAGACTGGGACAGATAGAAAAAGAATAGAATTGGCACTATATCATTCAATATATTATGCATTGTGGAACAATGGGTCTGGAATTGGATGACCCATAATTGTGTGCTCACGTCTGTTATTCCAATAATCAATCCATTGGCATGTCTTGTAACACAAATTTCGTCTTGCCGACCCCTCATATCAATTCGGTGCAGTTTAGACAAGTTGTTTGGTTCAGATCCCTCTTGAAACAAGTCAAACTGGAGTTTGACTCTGTCTGCTTGATGTCATTCAACCATTGCAAAGCAGATGATAGCAGTGCATGACGTTCAGATGGTTGAATTTCGAAATGCTTCATTAGGAATTTCTTGTTGAAGTTGTCTATAGGGAACCCATATGAACTACAAAAAAATTGGTTTAATACTACATATTATGAACATAATTGTTAAATTAAATAATCAACTGAGTAAGTAACATATACCTGATATGTTTGCATATAATCAAACATTGATCTGTACCCCACAACATCATTGTGAGGTACATTGCGGAAGTTCAAAACTCTTTCTCCGCTCCAATTGCATACATAATGGGTATGTTGGTGTCATACTTGAAATGGACACAATGAATGACATTCGATGTCAAACCCATGATTGTAAGAGCGATGCACAACCACCCATTGTTTTCGCCCTTGGATTCGTTGCTCTGCACATTTCCCTGTACAACATTGTGAAGCAAGCAGATCCCCAGCTATATCTCCTGGTTTGTCTAAATTTAGTAAAAAAAGAAACATTAAATGTACTTTGTTGCATGTTTTATCAGGCATTATTACACCGCCAATTAATCCTAAGATATACGCCCTGCAATGGGCGTGAATTTCTTTTTCGGATGGTTGGTTACCTAGCGGTAGGATGTTCTCCCTCAGCCACTTCAATTTGATCATTGAGCCAACAAGTGACTCATCTTTTACTAGGGTGATGTTAAGATATGTTTCACACATCTCCTCCCAATCAAACATTATTGGGCCAATAAGTGGTAAAACATCCACTGTTAGCCCCAGCTGATATGCAACATTGTCAGGTTAGCTTTCTCTAGCTCCTTGTATGAGCATGATTAACTGTGTGGTGAGAGAGCTACATAGTTCTTTGGTTGTGTGTCTGATGGTAAATATTGCTTAGTGCTTGTATATAATGTGGATTATGTATGGATTTATTTATTTATTTTCTTTGATGCATTGGAATTATTTTTGAAGTGTTTCGTATGGTATGTTAGTTAGTGTGTGTTTAGGAGAGTTGAAAGGAGGTGTTTAGAATTGTTTGGCTGAAAAGGGGGGTTGAGACTCCAAAGAAGCTCCAAGCTTCCAGTCCAGATCTCAGTCAATTCCACCGTTGGATTTGCCTGAAAGTTGAAGAGTGTGTTCAAGACATTCTCATCTAAATTTTCACCGTTCAGGTTTTCGTTTCGAGTTCTGTATGGGGAGAAATAGAGCTCTAACCGTGACTCTGTTTCAAATTCACTGAAATCCTGAACAGTTTCGGTAAAATCACAATCGCCAATTCGTTAACCGTTGGATCAATCTCAAATTTGGGTACCAATTTCCTGAGATGTAGTTTTAGGTTCTAACCATTGAAATTTTCATTATTAGGTTTATAATGGAATAAGTAAAGAAAATTCAATTAAGAGCAAAAAGAGCAAACTAGTCCTTTAATATTTAGATGAGGGGCATTTTTGTCAAACATCTTATATTTATTTCAGCTTTCTCCCAATTCAGCAGCATGCAGCTCTTTCTTCTTCTCTTCTTCTTCTTCTTTATTTTCTCTCAAACCCTTACATTTCGATCCACAAATTGAAGGCTAAATCTTGATTTTCTTGAGGAGCTCCAAGAGGTAAGTTTGTTCCTCTCAATCTCCTCTACATTTCTACGGTTTCAATTTTCAATACGATGTATTTTCATTTGTCTTCTCACTTGGCTGGACTTGAATAGAGTGGGAAGAGTATTATCATGGTTTCATTATTGTGATTTTACACCTAGAACACTAGAATCATGGTTGAAGTCGAAGATTAAAAGTGGTTTAGCTAAAAACCTTAGGAACTCTAATTCGTAGGTACTGTTCACTGAAACTTTGGGAATTGCGTGAGTAGAATTAGAAATTGGTGTCTTCATAAAAGTTGTAGGAAAACCGAAATTTGGAAACTGGTTTAACATCAAACGGATATTCGAAACTTAAGTTATGTCTATTTTACTGACTAGTGTTCTAGTTGTGACGTTAAAATGTTTCCCTGTTTCAATAGCCTCGGTTTTTGAATTTCTGGGATTGATACATGGAAAATTAGGACTTTATTTCTTCATAAAAGTTGTAGTAAATTATATTATCGAAATTTATAAACTTATTTCACATCAAACAGATAATTGTAGCTCGAGTTATGTCCATTTTACTGTCAGGTGTTCTAGCTATGACGTTAAGATGTTACCCTGTTTCAACAGCCTCGGTTTTTGAATTACTGGGATTGATACATGTGAAATTAGGAATTGATTCCTTGATAAAAATTGTAGGAAAATGTGTTACCGAAATTTAGGAATTAGTTCCATGTAAATAGATTATGTGTAACATGAGTTATAGTCAAAATACCAAGACATGTTCAGAGTGTTATTGTAGTTGAGCCCTGTTGGAAATAATCACTGTAAACTGAAAACCGCATTTATTCTATAGGGTATTTGAATTTATTTTCTTCATCAAAGTTGTATATAAATGAGTCCTTGAAAGTTAGAAACTGGTCTCATATCAAAATATTGAGTATAGGTTGAGTTATGCCAAAAACACTGAACCTTGTTCATGTTTGCTAATAGGAAATCAATCTCAAGCTTTGGAGAAAATAAACGTGGACGTACCAGGTAAGTGGAGTTTGTCCTAACCTCTTTGTGATGATCGGTGCAAGGATAATTGAATGAGTGGGTGTTGTGTATTGGATGATTGTGATGAATAATGTTATGTGATATGCTTAGTGCTAATTATGAGTAAATGGAATTAGTGTGATAATGTGTATGAGAATGCTATATGCTAATGAACAATTGTATGATGTGAAAGTGCAATGGGAGATTGTGTGTCATGTGGAGTTGAGTGCATTGAGAAATATTGATGTGTGCTTGAGTTATGATTGGTTGTATGGTTATTAACTGTGTGTAATTGAGATTGTATGCCTGAGATATGCAAACCAGACTTTGGGGGTCAGATGATTTTGCTAATTGCGACTATATGCCTAAGATATGCAAACCAGACTTTGGGGGGCAGATGGTTTTGC